TATTAATATCTTATAGTAAATTGGACAGCCTGCGCCGGCGCCGTGGAGCCTGTTTAATTTATTTTTGTATAAATGTCGCGGCCGCGGCTACGGCCGACAACACAATGATTCTCAGATCAGTAAACGAGTCGGAACTTGCTGTATTTACAATAATAAATGTCAGCGCACCATCCACATTTGTTTCTATTTCATTTATTTTTAAGACATACGCGGTTTAAAGTAAGTATTCCACCCCAGCACCGGTCACTTGCCAGAGTTGGATACTCATTATTTGCAAAATGGTCGAATTGTATGGTTTCTTACTATCGCTAAATGCACTGATACGCGTACTGACCTAATGATAATGATAAATGTGATCTTGCTGTGCAACATATATAGAGAAATTAACCCTTAGAGTTAGCGTTTTTGTTTGAAATCAAAGTTACCAGAAAACCGTTTTTTTTTTTGTGAGGGGAAAATCATCAAATGACTTGACAGGAGGGAGTGTCTGACTCTTACTGACTAAAAACCCCCCTGTTCCTTCTCCTGCTCTGTGCCGAGGTCGCGGTACCTCATTGCGCTTACCCCGCAACCCCGGCTGAACATCAGCCCTTTAGGGCCCCATCTGTGGTGGTCGAATGGCTCTTTGAGGCGCGCGCGGAACGCTACGCGCCGTACGCTCGGGCCTGGTTCTGGTCGGGCGGCGAGCTGCCCTTACTCGCCGACCGCAGGCCCGTGCTTACGGTGGCCGGAGATCGTCCCTCGATCCCCGACGCCCGTAGTGTCGCCAGTTGCGGCTGCTGGGGCGTGAGGAGGAGGATTGCTCCCTCACGCGGGCCGCCTCTCTCTTTGCGAGCATGACTGCTTCACAAAAGGAGGAGACGGCGTCCCAGTTCCTCTCACTCTGCACCATGGCCTCGACTAAGGCCGGGCGCGAGAGGTCGCCGCCGCCGATCACTTCCCTGAGGATACGGCGGTGCTCAGCCCAGGCAGGGCATACCGCTACCGTATGCTCCACCGTATCCTCTAGGTGGTCCTCACAATGACGACACTCGGGCGTTTCCTCCCGCTGGATCCGAAACAGGAACCTACCAAAGCTGCCGTGCCCGGTATGCACCTGCGTCAGGCGGAAGGTGAGGACGCCGTGGCGTCTCTCAAGCCGCTCCTCAAAGAGGGGTCTTACCGCTGCTATAGTAGCGTGCCCGTACCAGAAAACCGTGAGGCGGGGTTTAACTTCGCCCGCTGTGATTGGGCGATGAATTGTATGTTGTGTTAACGATTGTGTAGTAAAAGAGTTTATAAAATAAATTAAAAACAGAGACAAAATATACACTGGTTCTCAGACAGCTTTAATTTGGAACTTTTTTTTTAAATTTAGTCTATTTTCGAGGACAAAGTATTGCAGGGCAAAGGCCCCCCTACTTCCACTCCTCTCTACACAAAGCATTCTGCGGCCAATCCTCGTCGAAGACATCAAGACTGGGCTGGACATGTTTGCCGCATGTCAGACGAGCGGTGGGAAAAATTTACCTAGTCTAGCCATAAATACTGTAACAAATAAAAAAATATTTTTTCTATTGCAAGTAACATTTACATTTACAGTATTTAAGTTTAATACATACATATAAAACAATTTAAAAGTTAAAAAGCTTATTCGAAGTGGTCTCCATTGGCTGCAATACAGTCCTTTAAACGTTGAGGCCAGTTATCAATAGAAGCACGCACTCTTTCCATGGGAAAATTCTTCACTGCCAATCGTATGGATTGTTTTAGGGAGTCCAAATTATCATGACGTTTAGAGCAACCCTACTCTCTAAAACTGACCTATAAATCATAATCCAGCGGATTAAGATCGGGACTGTGGACGGCCAGTCTTCAGCTCTGATGAAGTCGGAAACGTTCGTTTCCAACCAAGACTGCGTGGACCGAGCTATATGACCCGGCGCCGAGTCTTGCTGGAAGGACCATTGTTGGTTATTGAACATGGTGTTGTTAAGGGGCTTAACTACCTTCTCAAGAATGGTATTTTGATACACTTGTGCCGATGTTTTGATACCTTTTTCGCAAAAGTATGGCTCAGTCACTCCTTCATAGCTTATATCCCACCAAACCATCACTGAAACGGATAATGCCCACGTTGCACTCTGTCGACTAATTGAGAAGCTTCCTTAGAGCTTTGAGCATAAATACGGTCATTTTGTTTGTTAAAATGTTGCTCAATTGTAAAAGAATTCTCATCCGTAAAGTAAATTTTTCTGTGACCTCCCTTTGCCGCTTACCGCTTCAGTAGTTGTTTAGATTTTATCACCCTACTCTTTTTTAAATTATCATTTAAAAATGTCCAGTGCGTTTCTTATAGGCTTCAAGTCGTCTTTTAAAATACGCGACATGGTTCTAGGTGCTATCTTCATCTCCCGAGATAAAATCTTTTGCTTTCGGACAGGATTTCTTCGAATTCTTTCCCTTACTGCTTTGACCACCTTTTTCGTACGAACACTACGTGGACGGCCAGATCTTTTTCTGTCACAAACAGAGGAGGTCTCATTGTACCTATTAATAGCCCGGGACACAAACATTTGACTAATGCCAAGCGTGTTGCATTTGGCTCCATACCCACTTTGTGTAATGCAATCACAGCGATTCGGTTCTTTTATCACCCCACTCCATTTAAATATCGCAAAATATTGAACTATTTATTGGCGCCAAAATAAGAAAACACAATGAAAAATTATATAAAAATGAAAGATTCCAAATTGAAATGTAATATTTTGTTTATTTTTAATTGTAACAGTATTTATGGCCAGACTATGTATAATATACCTAATATCGTCTATGTTGGTATATAATGATTTCTGTGACTATTTCTTTTATGAAGTTTAATAAAACAAAAAAAATTTTTCTTCTGTGCCGACATAGCAACGGTGCCTTGTGCCTGTTTCTTTGCAATATATATTTTTCATTTTCACGTAAGAAATATGTAGATATTAAGTATAAAAATAAACCAGCAAATCTAGCCTAGTTTCTGCATTACCAATTTATTGTTAAAAGAACACTTCAGTGTGGTTCGAAGAAGAAAAAGAACTCATTCAATCGTATTGAAGCTTTCGGATTCATCCTGTGGTAAGGGGTGGTAAAATGTGGGACCGGATACCACGGCCTTACAGAATACAAGCGTGACACAACCACAGCGTTATGTTTGGCCGTGTGAGTGAGATTACGGGAGGTCCCATCCTACCCCAATCTCATAATCTCCAAAACCCCTTGACCTCGAAAAGTCGGGTAATACTCGATATAGGTAGGTACGACTAAAAATAGAGAAAATTACATTTAGATACATCACCTGCATGCCCCAACAATTGGTGGATCACACAGATTTACTACGTGCGGATATCGAACCCGCGACACATTGCACAGCCACAGCAGCTAATGATGGGCGGAGAATCAACAATCCAAAATTTATTCGAAATATGGATATTTATAATCTCTCAAATTGGAATGTATTAAAAAATATTGGATATTATATTACATATATTTTTTGGGCTCTCCAAAATACAATATAAGGTATTGTTAATTAGAAGTTAATAAGAGATAAGTTAGTTCTGGACAAAGCAAGAAAGCAACGCGTTTCTCACTGAGCCCTATTCCCATCTACTTTTGGATGGTTATTCAGAAGTTTAATTCAAATTTCGTTGTAGAATAATACTTACCAGTCGTAGATAGCATAGGTGACACCCGGAGTTGTAGGCGTCACCCCGAAAGTCAATGAAAACTTCTAAAATAAGAAAGTACATTTACCTACGTTTTATTTAAATACGAGTAGGTACCTATTACAAATTTTAGTAGGTAGATATATTACCAACCTATTTGAAGGAAATGTAGTAAGTATACAAACAATTAAAATCTTTCCTCCAGCTTTGACTGTAGCTGTGAGCTCCGAAATCACGTCTTCAAAATTAATATTTAGCCTAGGTACCTACAGATATTATCCCAACAACACTTTCAACCAATACTTTTACAGCACCATGATTGTAATCCAGCGCGTTGTCAAAAGTCTTTTAACAGATGCTTAACGTGATTGAGGAGCACTTCCCAGCGGCTTGTGGAAGTTGAAAAATTTAAATATATTCACCATTTTGTGCGAACCACAATACAAGTGACGAGCTCTAAATAAAGGGATCCCTAGTGTTGGTTATGCGCGAAGGGGTTTTACATTTTGGGAAAATTCCTGATCAATTGATAAGTGTGCACATTGCTTTGTTTTTGCGAACCTGCGTCTATAAAGTCACCGGAGTCCAATACTGCTTCGATCTGTTTAGCTGTTAAAATGGTGCTCTGAAATCGAGGAGACACTACAAGCGACAGTTTTTTAGCAGTAACTCAGATTTCCTCTAAAGAGGTCTCGATTTTATACACAAGCCTGTTTCGATTGTCGATAAGGTTTTCTTTGGCACGACCGGTGTAAAAGGCATCCGCATAACGAAGAATGCCACTGATTTACAACATGTCATTGATATTGAAGAGGAACAGAATGGGCGATAGCATGCAGCCTTGACGGCACTAGCGTTTACAGACAAGCAGTCAGAGCATTCACTGTCGACCACGACCGTTATGCTCTTATCTACAAGGAAGCTGGTGACACTTTTAGATAATTTATCGAGAAGCCCAAAGAAAGCTATTAGCTTCTTAAACTGTCTTTTTCTTATAAGAAATCTCATTTTTATAGGGGGGGGGGGCTCGCCCCTCGTAAAGGGGACAGCATCTTACTGGCGTCACACTTGTAGGCTCTACTAGCTCAAGCTGCAAGAAATGAAGTATGCCTTTCACCGTGCTCCACCTAGCATACTTTCCCCAAGTCCATATATTACCAGGGCCGCCGCGGCCGGAGCCGAAGAAGGGCAACATCTACTCTGCTCGACGCCTACACTCGAATACTCGACGCGCCTGGTCGCAATGGCACGTATTCAACCACTTACCTACTCAACTAACTTGATCAAATGTCGAAGGATAAATAAAAAAGCCAGTTCCTTATCATCACGCTTATTATTTTTCGATTATATAAAAGAAATGTTCATTTGCAGAGAATTAATTGTAAAAGTGGCTTCTCAACAGAGCACAGAACAGATCATACAAACACATATCACAGAACAGACGTCGGTGATTCCGAAGTCAGAGTTCGTCCGTAATGAGCAAAATTAATGAAGTAACGGCGAGAGGCCACCTTTACACATACAATATGGAGTGTTGTACATTCGCCACGTTTTCAAACAAACTATATATTGAAAGTAAATTCTCCACGTGCATTGAAATATGTGTAAACTTGTCACAGGTAAGTCACACCTTTCTGTTGTCACGCCTTAACCTCCTCACTCTACAAGATATTGCCAAAATAACAGGCACAAAAAGAAACACATTTTTTTCAAAATGTTCCTTCACTCTTGAATTTTCTTGTTTTTTTTCTTGAATTTGGTGAATATACAAACATAAAATGTCACATACAAATCACACCCAGGCCCGGAACAACAATTTGTAGATCACACAAAGAGTTGTTCCGTGCGGGAATCGAACCCGCTACACGTTGCGCTGCAGCCAGCAGCCAAAGAAATAATGCAGTATTATTATAATGATGGGTATGTTTAAATGAAACATGTTACTCGAGCTCATGCCAAAAGACAAAACATTTTTCCTTGACTAACAAAATAACGAAAAGTGACGTTACAATTATACAATGAAAGCAAATCAAATTAATAATATTGGATATTTATTACATAATTAGAAATGTGACGAGTTTACACATACTGTCTTGTGACGAATATACAGCAACCCTACATAATTAGGTACAATTAGCTACACAGCTGCTTCCTACTCCGCGACCTGCTCACCTCGACTCACAGTGAAGTATTGCAGTAAAGTGATTGTAGTACAATAACTAGAAACAAATTGTAAATCTCTTACTAGGTGTAGCTGAATCAAATGTATTATCTCGAATAAGGTAATTTATTAAAAATCCGCTGGCGTTAGGTTAGACTAAGGACGGTGCATATCTGCACATAAAACATGTAATTCGTTTGAGTATTGTCAAATGTTTATAAGGAAACCGTGAAGTGTTCTATCTTTATCAAAATAACAGGGAAAGCAGTTAATCTATATCTTACATCGAGACCTAGTAAGTGTCCAGGGAACGAATTTTGTGAGTGGAGGCGGTGAGGCGGTGAGGAGGTCGCGGACAGAGGCCGTCTCGGCTCTCTGCGCGGGACACGTCGACACCAGGCGCAGGCACACTTAACTATGTCATTTTTAAGGTCCTTTACATTTATTTACAATATAGTAATTTTATTGGATTCCCAATAATAATGTTCCTTTCGTCCGCAGCAAGGACACGCTACGATAATTAATTTACAACGTCGATGCAAGCTCTCTCGGAGTCCGTCGTCAGATGGCCAGCACTCGTGACGCTCGGTCTATACACTATGTACAGGCGGGCGCGCCGCGCTAGTGGGCGGCGGGGTCCGCGCGCTCGGCCCGCATGGGCGGGAAGTGCTTGGGGTCGCGCAGGTCGAAGCCCCGCGCGGGCTGCGGGGCCGCCTCCAGCGCCGCGCCCAGCTCCGCCGCGCGCTCCGACTCTGCGGGCAGACCGACGCTCACTCGCTGCTCCATCCTACGTGCGTACGTCGCTCGTACCGCAATATATAGCAACGCATGCGAAACTGTCTCTCCAGGGTTACATACCTACAACGCTATCAATGTGCGCTCTGGTGTTGTCCACATACATACCTCCGTACCTTACAACTAGTACGTGCCAAGAAGTATCCAGCTCAAATAGCCTGTTCAACAATATAGTGGGACGTGAAGCAGATACATACGAGTGGCAATAAACACAGTCATTTAGAATAACAAGTAATTGGTGCAAATTTAGAACAGTAAGGACACATTTAAAGTACACGTTTAAGCATCATAATAACAAGGAATATAATAATTATTATCTTGAATATAATAAGTAGCATGTGTGCGAGAGGAGAGTGTCATGTGATAACTGCTCCCGCACACAAACGGCCACAGCTCGACATTCTTTTTAGCATTTTGCATCAGTCTCACCACTGCACATGTTGTATGCAACGGTGGTAGTAATAAATGTCGTGGATCGCACCGGGCACAGCCAGGCGGAGTGCTCGGCTTGAAACAAATAAACACAATATGGGCGCGAACAGCGACCGCTCGATGCAAACAACACCAGGACACGAGTCGAGTGGCGCGACTTACCTCGGCGCACGCTAGGCTAGTGGCCGGTGGCTAATACGAGCGACTACCTGTGGGACGCAGCTCGGCGGGAGGGGGCGGGGGAGGGGGGCGGGGGGCAGTACCTGTCATCCGCGCCGGGTCCCGGCCGCGCAGCGCGCCCGCGTAACTGTTGCTAGTGGACAGCGCCGCCACTGCGCGGGAACAATACGTTAGACTGGGGGGCTGGGGGACTACTGCTTCCGACAAGGTTTTACATAAGTATCGTCGTTGACTTAACGATTCGAAACACTATCATATCTATCTAGGTATCGTCTGTTTCATTAAGTTCATAAGACAAGGAAACAAGCGTAACAAATGCCACTATCGTGACTTATGGCTTTAGTCTCATCCGTTATTATACTGCAAGCGCTCCCTTCTTCTTTACTACTGGTAAGAGTAATTTATACTTACTTTCTTACAACTATTATTATAAAATAACTTTCTCAAAATATCCTTATTATCACATAAAGGTCATTGCTTTACATTGTTGTCCGTAACTACGTTTGAAATGTTATGTACTGTGTACCTAATCTAGTCTACCATAACATAACGGACTTTTTGTTTCCTGAAATTGTTGTCATGTCCAGGACATTTAGTAGCAAGGAAACGGCGTACCTCTGGCCACACATACCATTGATCACCCTGTTTATATACACTGGAAATCACATGGAGCTTTTCCTTTGGAACTAGTTACCTATGTAAAGTGCAAACTCTATATGGCCAAGCCATGGACTGATTGAGGAACTGGAACAATATTTTACTCGCGTTATTCATATATCATTTGAAATGGTGAAATGTGTTTGCTGGTGTGACCGGAATGATGTAGTAGGTACCATGTCCGCTTCAGAGCAGTAAAAGGAACGGTTTGATTTTTAGTCAGTTAGTAGCTTTTCTCAACCACTTTACTTAAGGCTATTTTACACGCGTCGCAAAACAACCTATATGGTACGTCAAATTTGGCCTGTAAACAGTGTGTGAACTAAATCACGCAAAGAAATTAAATTTATTTTTAAATTAAATGTTTGATTTGATTAACTATATTATATTTTACTCTGAATCACATATTAGATGCGTGAGGTTGAGGTTTACATATTATTATGTAAGTATTTTGTAAACGGATCGTCACGAAATACTTTACAAAACAAAACACATGCCAATAACGTCATGTTCAAAATGAAAAGGTCAGCAGTAGTTACCTAACATATGAGTGATAGGCCGTGTCAAATAAGAGTTAAAATCTATGGAACTTGTTCATTTTTTAATGTGCTCCATATTTTTGAACGCTAACAATGCTTTGATACTATTATCAGTTAAACTGTACCTATATGGTAACTTGTTGTATTATTATTTTGGTAATTGAGTACCCTTATTGTACTATATATTTGACGCTGACTGTACATTGTCAAAAACTTTTACATAGAAAACACCGCACAAATTCTCGTCTGCTCGGCGATGGTGCGAGTAAAGGAAATTTACTAGCTCGCGCCGCGTCTGACATTTTACCTTACTCATATGTGCACGGCGTGGGATCACGATCAGTGTAACTAAGGCGGGCGTAAGGCTGGGCCGACGGACGACTGACTGTTGTGCACTACTACAATCTACTATCGCGAAGACCTATTGTTCGGTGCTAACCACTTCCAGCACCTTCGTTTGAACGCTATTTAGCCATCTAGCCATGACAACATGTCACCTCAACGACGATACTTATCGAGACCTTGTTTTGTAGGTAACCGGTGTTCCTACAATACCAAAACCATACTGACGTTTTTGTAAGCAACCATACATGTGTACAGTTTGAATATATAAATACATATATCATTATACATTTTAATACATAGTATCATATTTGGGTTTTAGTTTAGTATGAATATACTGATGATTAATATATATATATATATATATATAAATAATAAACCTAGCCTATTAGTTAATGAACTAAGGATAAATAAGGGAAGAGAAATAAGAGATGGCAATTAGTGACGACGCGCTGAATATTTTTGTGAACAATATGTCTGTCGAGGCGACTGGTGACGTGAGAGTGGCGGAGCGAGGGTGGGAGAGGCGTGATCCAGTCAGTGCGGGGGACGGGGCGGGGGACAAGGAGGACAAGCAATGTGCGGCCGTGGCGGACCGGACCGGGCGAGGGCACCCGCCGGGCCGCCGGGCCGGGGCCGGCCGGCGCTGGCACTGACCTTCGTGCGGCGCGGCGGCGGCGGCGGCGGGGCGCTCCAGGAACTGGTGCTGGCGCAGCAGCGTGCAGTCGCCGCCCTCGGCGTCCAGCGCGTACACGTACAGCACGCCCTGCGCCGTGGCCACCAGCAGGCGCGGCGCGCGCGCCACGCTGGTGATGGCGGCCACCGCGCGGTACCCCGTGTGCGGCAGGCGCGCCGCCGCGAAGGCGCGGCCCTGCGCCAGCACGTCGGCCACCTGCGCCGGCAGGTAGCCCGCGCCTGCCGACACGGCGCTGGACAGCCAGCCCATCCAGCCGCCCGCCGCCTCGTCCTCGGCCGGCGCGGCCGCGGGCTCGTCGGCCGCGGGGCCGGCCGGCGCGGGCTCGGTGAGCCGGAACACGTGCACGGTCTCCGTGTTGGACGTGGCGGCCAGGTAGCTGCCGCAGGCGCTGAAGGCGAGGCAGGCGATGGACACGCAGCGCTTGACGCCGCGCCGGAACTCGTAGAGGCGCGTCCGCTCGGGCACCGCGAACACGCGGATGACGGTGCCGCGCTCTGACGCCGTGGCGAGGCGACGCCCGCACATGGACCACGCCAGCGCCGCCAGCGGACTGTCGTGCGCGCTGATTACGCACTTGGCATTCTGCAGACGACAAGGAAGTCAGCGCCGGAGGTAGCGACGAGAAGTCGCGAAGGCAGGGCGAGGCGGGTACTCACCAGATGCACAGCGTCAAAGATCTGCACCTCACCCACGGCACTCGAGCCGGGGTAGGCCACGTAGCAATGGTCCACGCAGGGCGACAGCGCACAAAGGCCGCGCGGGTTGGGCGGCGTGTCGCGTATGGTGTGCAAGATCTTCATGTCGCGGATGTTGTGGATGTGCAGCGACTCCTCCAGGCACACGATGAGCCTCTGCAACAGACACAATGGCGGTGAGCGGGGCCCCGCAACATGCGCTCCGACTGCGCTCGCTGCGCGACGCATCACTCACGGATCTGTTGAGCTTCACTGCCAGGATGGTGTTGCTGTAGCTGTAGTTGCATATCTCAGTGCCCTTCTTGTAATGGCATACTATCAACTTCCTGTGAAAAACAAATATAAATGTAATTGGCCTACTCCGAGCATCTAAACTGAGCCTCCTGGTTTATCAGATGTATCTATTGATTGTTACCTGGGAGCTGATACAGTGACCACAGCCACAAGTGAGCTGCTGAATAGTCGGTCAACAAGGCAGGTCTCCTGACCTGTGCGACTGGCGTAGATTTCTTCGATGCCATCATCCGCAGTTAGAGTAAAGAGGTGGTACCCACTGCTACTGCCCGCAACCAGGGACCTGCAACATCCCATCTCTTACACTCCACCAGATTTTATTAATATCTACACAGCTTTCATCCAGTAACATTTCTGTTGAGAGTTTAAATCTTCTTTATTTATTTAAAAACATAGTTTTCATGTTTATTTTTAGAAATTGCAAAAAGTTTTTTACTCATATAAGAACCATATCAATGATTTTGATATTTTTCTTGTGATAAATTTGTAAGTGTCCCTCCTCTCCTCTGCTATTACAGACCATACATGGAACAGCAATTGGAGATAAGATCAAGTTGTAATTATTATTAAATTAACCACTATAAACTTAAGTTTTGTGATCATTAATTTGCCATTATAATTATTGTGCTTTAAAACTGTAATATGATCAGATACAACTACTTTTACTTTTCTGAAATATATAAACGACCAAATTTTTTAAATTCAATCCTCAAAATATATGGTGTTCCTTTTTTATTTAAACCATTACTCAACTAGTTTGGAGGAGTCAATGACACAACTATATTCCATCAACAATGGAATATCGGAACACCCTTCAACCTTTTTTAAGGCCAATTCAGGCATCCACAAACCCACTTTTGAGAGAATATTATCCCCAGCCACTTAGTTACAGAATGCTTTTAAGCTATCTGCATTGCATTTGTGAAGCTTGATGTGCAGTATGGTATGGAAATTGAAAATTTGTAATCACTATACCTTGTAGTAAATTCAAAGATCAAATGTTACCTTTCCCTTCCTATGTAAAACATGGTGCAAGACATATATAAGTGTTTGTTACAATTCTCAGCCTTTTGGCCTGGCAAGTTTATTATTAAGTATAACATCATATGTTATGGTATTTTTTTATAAGTTATATAAAGACCATGAATCATATACACCTCACACCAGATACTTATCATGATAGTGGAATACTGGATCAATGGCTTTACCATAAATGCACATGTTTTACACCATCTTCTAACATTACCTTGCTAAGGTGCCATTGTTATGCAGCCTTTGTCAAGCCACACAGTAATGGCACCCAACTCAAAGTCATAACAAAAAAAAAATGAATCAAACCAAGGTCACGGAGAAACTACCTTAAGTAAATAAATATTTTTATCAACAGCTGTTACATAGATTTTTTGTTAGATGATATATTGAAGCACCAACTTTAAACTTTGAAGGTCCAGGTAAATTAGCAATTGACAACGCAAACATCAAAATGAGATAGTTTGCTTGACCTCGGCGCCATGTTTGTTTACAGCTCGTGCTGCGGAGTACGGATGAAGACATTACGAAACAGCTGGCAATGACATATTGCATCATCACGCCAACAACGAAACGCGCTTGTAACAATAACGAACTTCGTTTATTGGTATCGCATTCTTTCTATAGTAATTTCAACCATATCAGAGATAGGACTTCATAATGCATCAGTTTGATAATAATAGACCAATAGAGCTGCGCTGAATCTTCAAGCGTCTGTAGCAATACTTACGTGCAGTCCTGATTGAATTGTACAAATATTCCTCCTGCATTTGAGCCATCAGAGTTTTGTCCTCCTCCACTCATTGGAACGTTCGAATGATACAGATTATTTAAAAACTAAGTTCTAAAAATAAAGGCACACACGAACAACAAATATTTTGGTTGTAGATGTATAATCATTCACGACACAAAGTAAATACTTGAAACTAATTGTTCGTCACAAGAATCTGAATTTTGACACAAAGAACGACCTTGCTGCAGCTGCTAAAAACAAGCCCCCTCCCCCGCACTACACTGCACTCCTACTATTAATGTTGCCAGCGGACCTAACTTGTAGACTACCTATTAAAGGTATAATTATTGTTGATTTTTAAAAAATAAATAGGTTTTTTTTGTTCATTACCATGAGCAATATTTACAAAACTGTAGAGTATATCATTAATCTAAGATCTATAGACGACAATTAACTTGACACACCCGGCCATTTGACCGTGTATTTAATGTACGTTATTGTATGTTTTGTTTTGGTGCTAGCTTTGTTATCAAAAACTTTTTAACATTTTCCAACGAGATGAGCCGACGGTTGGTGCGAGAAGCAAGCAAACAGACCCAATTTTATATAATATGAGACATGACATACGAGATAGATTCGTATTCAAGTGCATATTATTCACTATCAAGTTACAATATAATATTTACAAACATACTCAAATTATATAATATAATAATAAATAGCATATGTATATACTTATTATAATATATATACTCATACTTATTATAATACATGGTGATCATGATTCAGCCAAACCTTTAAACAAGAGCTCACGAACCTTTTGTTTAAAAGTCAAACGAATAGACACCATCCTTACAACTGGGTGATTCCCCACGTCAGCCCGCGTGGATCCGGACTGCAAGACAGACTTTAATTTATAACGGGACGTTATGAACCGATTTAGCTGGATAGGCGAATGAGGTGCAAATTTCCAGAATGTACAGAATATAAGTAAAACAAGCTGCGTAAAATGTGCCATTAGTTTATGTTGCAAAATATCTGTTTTAAAAATCATATTTACGAACCAAAACTAATTTTGTAGCCTAACCAGGGCTAATGAAAAATTGCATTTTTGCAAGAGATATTTTTTTTTAATTTTACCTGTACAATACATATAATGTAAAAAAAACCCTATTATTTCCGTTTAATAGGACCCTAAACCTATTTGTAAAAACTTGTAAATGGCCTTCGAGTATCATATTACATATTTCATCAAGTTATCAGTTTTCCGAAAATGTAAAACGATATAAATATGTGTCTGCCGCGCCAAATTAGTGCCTGGCGGAACGAGCTCCGCCCAGCGCGGTCTCATGGCAGAGTGGAAGCAACGTCTTTCGCAACTGAGGGCTGGGCACGCAGTTATAGCAGCGGTTATATCCCTCTTTGAGGAGTGGCTTGAGAGACGCCATGGCGTCCTCGTCTTCAGTCTGACGCAGGAGCAACGCAGGAGCTTACCGGGCACGGCAGCTTCGGTAGGTTCCTGTATCGAATCTGGCGGAAGAAAACGCCCAATTGTCGTCATTGGAGCATTGGTTCTAATAATTTTCTAGATATTTAGTCTGTACAAACACATAATTTTAAGAATGTTGGTTAGCTCGGAACTGGCTAATATATAAGACCTACTAGAAAAAAAATCTATATCTAGTACTTCTAACTATCTTATGTATGCATAAGCTGTGAGCCTACGTCATCTTAGTAAATAAATAAATAAAGTTATGTTGCCAAGATCATCAGTTCTTATTTGTAACTACATATTCGCTAAGTACCTCTAAAGAAACACTTTTATTTCTTTGTTACCCGAAAAGTAATAAACTTAAGGTTGGCAACACTGTAGTGATACAAGCTCATAAAAGTAGTAAATATTCAAAATAATACTAATTCAAGTTTAGGGGTTAACACATACCTTTCAAGTGTCAATGTCTATGATGACTTGACTGTCAACAACAACACTGTCATAGTCATATGTTGCCCTTAGTGAGTTAAAGTTTTATGTAGAATATTGTTATTGTATTTATTAAAAGTCATATTGAATATTATGTATATATGTTTAAGTAACATTTTAATTTTCTGTTTAAGTTACAAAATTTAACAGTAATAAACTTTATCGTAATTTTATAAGAGTTTTACAAACCTACAATATTTATTAATTCCAACAAAAAATCAGTTAGGTAGTGCAGTGTGTATCTATTTTGATTCCTGCTTCAAAGATGGGCCGTAAAATACCAGCCAAGAAGCATCGCGGTGTTAAAGATCCTATAGTTCAGCAGGCGAGACGCTTAGAGGGGTATGCGACGTTATTATAACATTATTTATTTCAAGCTGTTTTGTATGGTTAACAAAATGAAAACATAACCTCAATGTTTGCTTAACTTTGAGGTTATGTTTTGATTTTGTTTGGTATTTCACCTTTACGTGATTGTTACACTTTAATATTTTTATTAAGCATGTACTTTTAAGAGATGGTGGTTAGCTAAATATCCAATTTATAAGACCACACAGCTTCTGAATTAATTTTGCTTTTAATTTATTATTGTATTATTAGCAATCATTTTTTTCATCAAATCAAACGTTCTCTTAAATATATATATGATTTTACATAAGTGAGCTTTGTTATTAGAGCAGACTTGACGTAATATTTCCCTCAAAATGAAAGGTGGCAAAGGTTGTTCCTACCCCGAAATCAGATGACGATGATTTGGTGTCAAATTATAGATTCATATCAATTTTCACGACTCTTGCTAATGTTTTTGAATGTCATCTGCCTGCACATTGAAAACCATCTAAATCTGTACTTTAGTGAAGCACAACATGGTTATGTTGAATCGAAGTTTACAGACACAGTTGGAAGAAGCAACAGATGTAGGTTATCAAGCTAATGTAACATATTATACAGCTTTCAGTAAAACATTTCATAAGCTCTCACATAACATGCATACACCATCACCACATTAATGCTCTCATGGTTGAGTTGCATCTTCTTTCTTTTTTGTGTGTGGTGGTGAACAAATTTCAATCAACTTTGCATTGTATCTCACCGGTTGTGCCACAAGAATCCCATTTGGGTTTAGTGCTATTTAATTATTTCATCAATGATATTTTACTGTTTTCTACCTTCAAATATCATTATGCACCAGTGATTTTATATTCCTTAAAATTGTTAAATTTAAAGACAATGCCTATGATCTGATCTTTACATATTTCTCTTTTCTCTTTTTTTTTTTAAATACTTAAAGAACAAAGTTAACAATGCAATCATAACAAAAATAATCCAACTTCAAAAAGTAAACTAAAAAGCAAAAAACTTAATGTTCTTTGTAGAAATTAATACAACTTACATGTTTTCATTTACTTAAATAGGAAATAACATTAATAATTATTTTATTATCTTGAATTCGGTACCAAATACCAAGTAAAAAAATAGTGTCAAGATCTTGGACTAAACATATACCTACGTACCTATTGTTAGTTTGATGATTAGAAGGTAATCAATATATTTTTCTAATTCTGTTGTTTGGTGTAACTTGATGATTCACTTGGCACCGACCTCAAGATTATTTAATAGTTATTAATGTTATTGCCTATTTAAGTAAATGAAAACATGTAAGTATTAATAGGGTATTACACCATTTTTTTAAAACTGTTTAAAATTAATCCTGAGATCGTAATGAACTAGTAGAAATTTTGTTAATTTTTTTTTAAACCGAAAATCGCCCTAATATTTGTTTTTTATTTATGATTTTGAATTTTCGCGCGGAAACGCTAGCCGCCATGCTTTTTCATCTCGTGACGTCACTCGGTTAGTAAACAATACGACTGCGAAAGACCAAGTAATAAGATTCGTGAAAATAATGAGTTATCATTGGTGTCTTGTGCCTGAATGCAAAAATACAAGTGTAAAAACGCCACAAAAATTATAGATTTAAGTGCCAAGTGATGTAAAAATGAGAAATACTTGGTTGAAACTGGCAAGAAGAGATCCAAAGTCATTGTCCACAAAGACTAGACTGTATTTCTGTGAAGACCACTTTGATGTAAGTATGCGCTGTAAATGGTAAATTAACCATCAAATAAACAAAAGAAAACTTCTTGTTAATATTACAAAACAAATGTCATCTTTTGTAATGTATTTGTAGGTAGGTACCTAGGATAAGTAATGAATTGAAAACTTCATAAATATTATAATCCATATTTCAGCTGGAAAATGATATGGAAAATTATACAGAGTATAAAACAATGGGTTCTGTTAAACGAAATTCGGATCAAACCAAACACCGTACCAACTAGATTTGATTGCCAAGCAAAAAGGAAACACAAGTCCACTTCAAGTGAACCTCGGCATGCCTTTATTAAAAGGCAAAGAATGTCTACAATTAAAGAGATTGAGGACACCATACAAAATGAGAATTATGCTATATCATTACCATCTTGTAGTCAAGGTAAGTTATTTTATTATTTTATGCCATTGTCATAAATTATCATTAGTATCACTAGGACAGATAAATAATCATACTATTTTACTGTTATTTTCAGATATTTTGACACCTGAAATTAAGAAGTGTCATGATAAAGCAGTCCAAGTAGTACAAGCCCAGGAACACAAAGCAATTCAAGTCTGTTGGATGACACACTACAGAAGTAGAAATGTGCAAACTACAATAAAAACAAAAAACAGCATGACATCACCATTGAAGACAACTGTGTGTACTGCAAGATCACCCTTTGAAGTACCTCAGGGAAAGATGCACAAGCTATGTCTATCAGCCACTAAAAGAAAACGGAATTTTTCTGAAGATAAATATGAGAGTGATGAATCATACACACCATCAATAGCAGGATCGATAGTCGAATACGATTCCTCTCCATACAAAATATGTAGTCAATCAAAAATTACTTCTGATGGTAGTAGCTCACTAGAAGAATACAAAAAAATTGAAAAAGTAAATCTACAGTGTACTTTCTGCTTTAACAAAACCGTCTTCCATAGTGAAATAAAGGCTAGAAGTCTACAAACGTGTTAGTAACTCGTAAATTTATCAAAATAACAGCGCACAACTTATTTTCAGTAGATTGATTACTATCGGAATGACGTCACGGCGGGATCCAATATGGCGGATGGCATTTTAGACATTTGAAAAACAGATTAGAAAAGACAATTTTTAAAATGGAATTATAAAATTAAAATTGCAATTTTATGAATAAATATCAACGTTTCTTGTTTACTTTTTTCGAAATCTATTATGAACAAACATTTTTATATTTTTCCTTACTTAGTGTAAAATACCCTATTTCTACAAAGAACATTTATTTTTTGCTTTTTAGTTTTCTTGTTGAAGTTTTATTATTTCTGTTAAAAAATATTTGTTTCACCATTTTAAGTGATAGGCAGAGCAAGCAAGGATAATGGTTTTCAAATGAAAAGACGACGGCTACTTGAGACCGACAATCACGGTAATAGTAGTAGTCCTGAGTTAGTCTGTGTTCAGTGCTGTAAATTGTTGAGGAATTCCCTTGACTGTCATTGTTCTCCATCTTCATGTATACTGCAGACCTTCAATATACGTACATAATCCATATAGTGCAAAGTTCTCATCAATATACATGAATTAAGTCCAAACATGATGTAGTTACTGTAATCCGTTCTGGAGTTCCCTGAGCTGTCCTTCGTTCTCATCATCAGACCCCTAATGACAGTCACAATCAATCTTGGTACAAAGTGCTCACCAATACGAATCATTCAAGCCCAAACACAAGGTAACTACTCCAAATGATCTAGGAGATCACTCGACTGTCTTCCGGCTCCTTCATCAGGTCGAGTTCGACCATCGGCAAGTCGTAGCGTTGAAAAAAGCCTACTAATAAAGAAATCAAAAGCACTACTCGCCCCTACAATTTTCGAAAGTTCCCCTCGGTTTCCCTAGGATTCTATCATCAGATCCTGTTCCTTAAAAATAGGATCCTCTCGGGAGTATAACCTTACAAACAAAACAAGAATTTTGGGAATCGGTTCATAAATGGCGGAGTAAACGGTGAACATACAAAAAAAAAAACAATCAGCCGAACATAGTACCTCCTCTTTTTTGAAGTCGGTAAAAATTCACACACCATGTTCTTGTAAATTATTTAGTTTTATGTTATTAATTTCTTATCTTTATGATACTTCTTCCTTTACATGTACCGAGCTGAAAACCTATCTTGGGCCAAATATGAAGGTTCTAAATTTGCTAGAAGTAACTTAGATTCTTGATAATCGGTCAGTGAGTGACGAATGTGGTGTAATTTTAAACACTTAAAACTCGTTAACTATTGGCCCAAATATCATGTAATTTTGAGGCTAAGCTTGTTTTAATATTATTCTAGGTCATAAGGATGGTACGGTTGTGCCCGTTTTGTTTGAGACTAGGCTGCCCCAGATCGAGTGTGCTGTCTTTTTTTCTTCCACGTCAGTCACTAGATTTTGTTAACATTATATGGATTATGTTTCCCATCACTACTCTACTTTTACTCCATCATCACCTCAATATTGTTGAGGATATCTATGGGAAAGGTTATAACATAGTCTGAAAACAAGTTTCCTTTGGCATTATTTATAACCACTCACAAATTCACCTGCTCGAGCGAAATCCACAAAGCTTATTATATGGTATATGTATAGCTCAAACCAAGGTGCTGCTGGTACTGCTGGTTTAGCAAAAAGCATAATAAATGAACAGGGAATATACTTGTAATAGGATTGCTTTACATAACTAGTACCCGAGCATAACAAATGTATATACGTGTTTTAGGTTGAAAGGCAAAATAAATGCTCCCCCAAAAGACCCTGATGAGCAACCAGTACCCAAATCACTTACAAGACTTTTTGCATTTCAAGACAAAGTGCTGGGAAAAAAAATTACAAAGAAAAATAAGATTAACAGTCGGATACGAAATAGTAAAGGTAATACAAGATAAAAAGGCAGGTAGGTTATTTATTAAAATGTATTGCATGCATTAAATCTTCAAGGGAAAAGTAGGTCCAAAGCTGAAACCTGAAATACGTGTTAAAAATTCTGGGGTTATCAAGAGTAGCTTGAATTATTTAAATTCGTGAATGTTTTGGGTATTGACAAACGACCAGATCGATTACCTTATGGTAAGCAATCAGCGCCGCCCATGGACTTCCCCAATACCTTAGGAATTACACTCACAGTATCCTCTAGGTAGTCCTCACAATGACGACAATCGGGCGTTTCCTCCCGCTGAATCCGAAACAGGACCCTACCGAAGTCGCCATGCCTGGTAAGGACCTGCATCAGGCGGAAGGTGAGGACACCGTGGCATCCCTCAAGCCAGACTCAAACTGTGTGGGGTAATGGAATATGTAGACATGTACGGGTTACAGGCGGTGCAGGTCCCAACCCTGTGTCTCAGATGCGCAAGCTGCCTGGGGAGTCTGGCCGAGATTTCTCACTTCGCATCAACAGTGCTGTGAAGGCTCTGCACAATCCGGTGGAAGACCTACACTACCCTGTAAGTAAATGAACATAATTGTAGATCAACACAAGGAGAAAATTTTAATTTGAGGCAGTTTAAAAAAAATAGCTACAGGTACGGGCACCTTTTCTCATAACCCTATAATTTAATCACCAGCGAGATTTCGAAGCAGAAGATGAAAAAGGGTTGCGAATGAGTGAACACCGCGAGCGACGCGCGCGCAAACGGCGCAAGGCAGCACAGGCATCGCGCGGGGATTCGCCCGCTGCGGCCGAGCCACGCCTGTCCAGGACACAGAAACTTGCTCTGAAGAAAAAAGCTAAAAAGTCGAAAGCTATTGAGGTTCGTATCTTCGAGCTTAAGGTAACTTCGACTTTAATTGGGCATAGAAATTTAAATCAAACCGAACGGGTGTGCGAAAAACTAATGGTGTTCGGGAAGACATTTTCACAATAGGTAACCCTGATGATGTAGAGGCTTCATCATCTTCCTGCTCTTGTCCCGTTTTATTTGGTGTCGGCGCAATATGTTTTTTTCTTCCATTCTGTCCTGTCATCGTCACGCTATCGCTAACTCCTCTGTCTTCCATATCACTTCTCACACAATCCATCACATATTTTATTTGGTCTCCCTCTCCCTCTCCATCCATCCACATTTATACTCATGGCTTTTTTGTAACATGCGTTTCATCCCTCCTTTTCACATGGCCATACCAAGACAAACGGTTCCCTTTCAACTTTTCAGTCACTGGCGCCACTTTCAAACTTCCTCTAATATACTCATTTCTCACTTTATCTATTCTCGTCACACCACACATCCATCTCAGCATTCTCATCTCTGCTACATGCAATCGCTTTTCATTCGTCTTTTTCAGAGTTCAACATTCTGACCCATTCAGTAGGACAGGCCTTATTTATTTATTTATTTATTTATTTATTTATTTATTTATTTATTTATTTATTTATTTATTTGGACAACTAGTAGTTGTTACATTTAAACTTACATCTAAAAACTTAAGTAATAATAAAATCAAATGCACAACATTTTAAAGTGTCACAACATGCTCTGTAACGTAACGACAACAGTTAGTATATTACAATTACAATTACAAACTAGAAAAAACATTTAAAAAAAAGGGAAAAAAAATACTACATTAATGCGGAACAATAAAATTAAAGTAAAAAATAACAATAAAACAATCGAGACAAATTAAGCACTAAGTTTGGACACTCAACAATCCCATCACAGCCTTTTTAAATTTTGGTAGCGTATCAGCAAAGATATCGACCCTTCCACAAATTTCATTATATAAATTCGGCAGTCGAGACATAGCAGAAAAATCTCGCAAATTGGTTCTAGCGCATGGCCGACGCAACAATCCGACCTTAAGCGTCGCTCGTCTAGGTACTCGTGTTGGCACACGCAAACTGACAGTTTTCAGAAGTGGCGGACAATTAAAATGGCATCTTACAAGCTTATAAAGAAAAGTTAAGTCTATTACACGTCTACGTGTTAACAAACTATCCATCTTAAAATATGTCAATTTCTCTTTGTATGAAGCCAGTTGTTTATGTACCCTAGATGAAAATGCGAGGTGTCTCAAAAATCTCTTTTGAATTCGTTCAATACGAAGTTGGTGAACATTGTACTGCGGCGACCATACTACACTACAGTATTCAAGGTTACTGCGAACATAACTATTGTATAGGGCTATCTTTGTAGTGGATTTGCGAAATGACTTAGAGTTTCGAATGATAAAACCCAACATCCTGGATGATTTATTAATAATATTATCTATGTGGGGCACAAATGTCAATTTCGTATCTAGAATTATGCCTAAGTCTCTCAATTCAGTTCTTTCTTGAAGAACTATGCCATTTATGTGGTATGGAAATTTAATAATACTATGATTGCGGGTAAAGGTAATAGAGTAACATTTTTGAGTGTTAAAAATCATATCTTATCACTGACTTGTAGATTTTACCATTCAACCTGAGGGGCATCCGTGGGTCACAAGTTGTTCCAGTGACCTGTCGCCATTTCATCCATCCTGAGTTGATCCGATGTGCCACGTCTCGGTCTATCTCACCATTCCCTTGGATAAGCGACCCAAGGTACCGAAAATCGGTACAGGTTGGTATGGGCGTTCCGTCGAGAGCTATGGGCACAGGACTAGAGAGACCGCCAAAATCGCAGAACATGTACTCTGTTTTAGTTTTTGCTCAATTTTAGGCCAACACTCTCCAGTCTTTGCCACCACACCTCCAATCTGCTCTGGACCCCTAGGCCACTCTCGGCAACCAGCACAATATCATCGGCAAACAGCATACACCAGGGAGCCTCTTCCTGAATGTCCGACGTCAGAGCGTCCATTATTATCAGGAAGAGGTAGGGGCTGAGAGCCGACCCTTGGTGTAAACCGACAGCCACATTGAACTTGTTAGTGGTGCCCGCTGCAGACCGGACTTGTGTACTGCAGCGACTATACATTGATCGGATCAACTGCACATACTTCCCAGGCACACCTTTCTCCTTAAGGGCCCACCACAGAACCTCACGAGGTACCCGGTCGTATGTCTTTTCGAGGTCAACGAATACCATGTGCAAGTTTTTTTGTGTGACAATAGTGATTTTAACGTTTGCAGGCAAGCAACGAGCGCCAGGAAGTGGTGTATGAACGAGTATCTTTTGGAGAAGTGACGCACGCGCCGCCCGCCCTGCACTTCAAGTCCGCTGCAGCTGGAGCCCCGCGGGTGAGTACTTGCCAGCACCAGCAGTACCAGGGTTGGACGCGGCCTTGTGTTATTCCAGACCATATTCTATTTATGTGCCTAGTTTCATTCGTTCAGTAATGTTTAAGTGAAAGAGTAACAAACATCCATCCGTTCTGACAAAGTTACGCGTTTATACTTATACTAGCGACTCGCCCCGGCTTCGCACGGGTGCAATGCTTTCGTAAATATAGCTACTACAAAATGCTCTTATACACAACGTTCACAGCTTTTTTGTCATTACAAACATTGCTTAGAGGTTACTCTTGACAGCGCGACATATGTATAATTGGCCATATGAAAAACACTCCACGCCTAATAGGCACGCGTCACCCGACTCCCGCCGGCCGGCTATAATATATGCATATATTTATATACTAGCTACCCTTACGCGGTTTCACCCGCTGCTCGGCTCCATTTAATTGTAGCGTGATGATCTATAGCCATTCTATATACAAAGAATTTTGAAAATCCAACCAGCGTTTCCAAAGAATTCCCCCTACATACAAACTTACAAAATTTACTTCTTTATAATATTAGTATATAATATAATATTTATTTAATTAGTATATAATATAATATTAGTATAGAATATTTTATTGAGGATTTTCGTAATAAGCCACAATTTGTTTCTCTGAAAATACAAAAATTTGTTTTATTCGAACCGCCTTTACAATTCTTAAATAATTATCGTTAAAGTCAAAGTCAAAGTCAAAGTCAAAATAATTTATTTCAATTAGACCCATACAGGCACTTTTGAACGTCAACACAACTTTAAAGATACAAAGTGTCAGTCTGTCGGTCAGTCCTCTTAGTGAAGCTATTCGCTGGTTCCAAAGTGTAGATTCCGATGGAGAAGAACGAGCAAGAAACTCCATGGTTACTCTTTTAAAATCAGTGTCACATAAACATTCTTTGATACATTATTTAGTTAGTTTGAATATGTGAGAACAGTGTAACGCGTGTATACAGAGAAACATAAAAAGAAATTCACCTTAAGGACAATAGACAGTCCGGAGCTGACCAGTCCCAATTGATGGCGCCCGTTCACGAGCATGACACGTACACCAGCATCGCCCAACTCAACCATAATATAGGGAATCGAACGATCCAGTGACCGTGCCACCGCCAATGTGACCTTTGAGTGAGCATGACAACTCCAAGCTGACATAAGGACCGACATTCTGCTAGTCTAACTAATTTTAATAGGTTGCAGGGCACTCACATTTACAAATTTATCAAGTTTAACAATAAAAATAGCATGGTTACAAATTTACAAAATCTAAGAACTTCCGTTCAAGCAAAGATCCACTGGAACATTATTTATATTCGTGTAGGTATATTATCCTGTGGAGCAGGACCAGCCCGTCTCCAAGCATCCTTATCCTCAATATAATCACTCAGTTTGTAATATGCTTTTTTACACAAAGTTTTCTTTACACATAATTTAAAATTTCTTTCATTTAATTGTTGTATTTCGCCTGGGATTTTGTTATAACACTTAACGCTGAATCCCATGAACGACTTGTGTACCTTTGCCAATCTAAATAATGGCTGACACAATCTATCTCTATGTCTAGTTTGGTAATTATGTCTGTCTGATACCTTATCAAATAATATTAAGTGTTTCCTAACATACATTATATTTTCATAAATAAACTGACCGGGCACAGTCATAATATTGATCTCTTTAAATTTATCTCTAAGAGATTCGCGAAGCCTTAGGTTGTAAATTGCTCTGATTGCACGCTTTTGCAAGACAAATATAGACTCAATGTCAGCAGCCTGTCCCCACAACAAGATGCCATACGACATAATGCTATGAAAGTAGCTGAAGTACACCAGTCTTGCAGTGTCCACATCTGTTAGCTGTCGGATCTTCCAGACAGCAAATGCTCCAGAACTCAACCGTCCTGCCAGAGATGTGATATGGGGCCCCCATTGTAGTTTTTCATCTATGGTTATACCCAGAAAAGTAGTCTATTTTACAAATTCCAATTTCTTGCCGTTTAATAATATGTCACATTCGTTACTTTTTACATTTGGTAAACTGAATCGTATACACTTTGTCTTTTTGTCGTTTAGAACTAAATTATTAACTGTAAACCAGTTATGAACCTTCGTAATAGCATTATTTACTTCGTCATAATTATTTGTCCGTCTATTTATTTTAAAAATCAACGACATCAGCAAATAATACCATTCCCGGTTCTCGCTGAAATAAATTAGGTAAGTCATTTATGTAGACCAAAAATAGGAAAGGACCTAATATCGAGCCCTGTGGTACGCCCATAGATATGCTAGCACCCTGAGAATTCACTTTGTTTACCTGTACTTTAAGCTGCCTATCCTGGAGGTATGATTTCGAATACCATAGTGTGAAAATACAAAGAAATGACATTAAAGTTCACAAATCTCGCTTCCTCAATTATATTGTTTAATTACTCTCAACAAGATTTTTTACAACAATAATAAAAAAATACACATGTCTCAAGATACTTAAACATAATCCGCCATTTTATAACGTGTCTCTGGCCGCTGTATTCTGCTTTCATTGGACAACATAATGAAATGTCATCTTATATATTTTAGATAAGTAAGATCATTTGCAACATATTATCATCAATCACCCTTCGTTGAATAAATTAAGTATAATCTTACTAATATTATAAAAACAAAAGTTTGTCGGAGTAGATGAATGGATATATGTTTCTCTATAAACTACTGATTGGATCAGAATGAATTTAGGTACAGAATTAGATTATTCTCTGGAATAACATATAGGCTAGTGGTCGAAACCGCGGACGGTAGCCAGTCAAATATGTATGAACTAGCTGTGCGGGATTGAAGATTTAATGTTCCAAAACTAAAATGAAATTGTGATGTAATACGCAATGTGTGTCCCGCAGCCGGGCCGCCGCCAGTTGCTGCTGAGCTCGCTGCTGGGCCCCGGCGCCGGGCCCCGCGCCCCGCCCGCGGGGGCCCACGCCGCGGGGGCGCAAGCGGCAGAGCGCGCACGCCTGCAGGCCGTGGCCGCGTACCGAGCGCTTAAGGCGAATAAGCACAAAGTTAAATAAACTTCGTCATCAACAATTTACCGAGTTTTCATTGACGACATTGATCAGTGTTTTAACCACGACTGCAAGTGCGGGGTCACGTATTGTGATTTTTTGTAGAATCATGTATGAAGAATGCAAATAAAGAACTATGCAAACGCATGACAAAGATTGAAAAAATGTAAAAGCGAGTAATATTCTTGCCCTGAACAAGTGTTACTTAGCCCTTAAAACAATTGTTTATAAGCCCTGAAAAGAACTGTTTATAAGCCCTGAAAAGAACTATATTTTAATTATAACTTTCGTGAGACATTCTATATTATTTATTATGTTTTCGGCTTACTCACGTAATAATTTGACGAGATACTCGACTAGTTTCAAGCCATGCTAGAGGCCCATATTCATGAGCAGCATTCCGAGACACGCGACTCGGCGACTGTCGCGCTGCTACTGTAATAATTGTTAGTAAGCCCTAAAAATAACTATTTATGAGCCCTAAAATGAGTTGTTTATAAGCCCTGAAAAGAAGGTTAGCCTTTAAAGAAGTAGCTTAGGTAGGTTCCTGTTTCGGATCCAGCGGGAGGAAACGCCCGAGTGTCGTCATTGTGAGGACCACCTAGAGGACACGGTGGAGCATACGGTGGCGGAGTGCTCTGCTTGGGCTGAGCGCCGCCGTGTTCTCAGGGCAGTAATCAGCGGCGGCGACCTCTCGCGCCCGGCCTTAATCGAGGCCATGGTTCATAGCGAGAGGAACTGGGAATCTATCTCCTCCTTCTGCGAAGCAGTTATGCTTGCAAAGGAGGAGGCGGAGCGCGTGAGGGAACTATCCTCCTCGCGCCCCAGCCGCCGCAGCATTCCGGGCATTCCGGGCGTCGGGGATTGAGAGATGATTTCCGGCCACCGTAAGCGCGGGTCTGCGGACGGCGAGTAAGGGTAGCTCGCCGCCCGACCAGAACCGGACCCGAAAGTACGGCGCGTAGCGTTCCGCGCGCGCCTCTAAGAGCCAATAGACCATCACAGACGGGACCCAATAGGGCTGATGTTCAGCCGGGGCCTTTTATTTTACTACTTTATCGGTGTGATTGATATATATATATATTGGTGCCAAATTTCAGCTTTCTGCTACTGCTAACGGTCACTGAGACTATTCGCGTACTGACAGACAGACATGGCGAAACTATAATTGACTGTGTGAGCACGAGATACTATTACTGAAGCTAGAACACTACGGCATTCGGGCTGTATCTCTGGTTTAATTGAAGTCACACCTTCAAGAAAGGCAAATTAAAGTATAAGTAAACAAATTAAACTCACATTATGCTAGCGTATCTATGGGTGTACCGCAGGGCTCAATAATAGGTCCTTTCCTATTTTTAGTTTATGTGAATGACCTGCCTAATTTGTTCCATAATGGACCGCATATGGTATTGCTAGCTAATAGATGATACATCACTGGTTTTTAAAATAAATAGACATACAAACAAATATGGCGAAGTTAATGATGCTTTTATGAATGTTGAAAATTCGTTTACAATAAACAACTCGACTGCACGGTTGGCGCGGTGGCTGGATAACTGGCTGCCGCGCAACGTGTCGCGGGTTCGATTCCCGCACGGAACAACTCTTTGTGTGATCCACAGATTGTTGTGCTTACGGTGGCCGGAGTTACGGCGGCTGAGGCGTGAGGAGAAGGATTGCTCCCTCACGCGGGCCGCGTCTCTCTTTGCGAGCATGATTGCTTCACAAAAGGATGAGACGGCGACCCAGTTCCTCTCACTCCGCACATTATGAAGAGGAAATCTTTAAATGTTTACATTAAATAGGCACTGAACATTTTCGTCGTTTGGCCCCTAAGCCATTTTCGTCGTTTGGCCCCTAAGTTGGAACGGTCTGGGGCCGCGCTCAAGCGGCTCCTTCCCAACCTCGGGGGGCCAAACGCCTCCTGCCGGAGGTTGTATATGGGGATTGTGCGATCCATGGCCCTCTACGGTGCCCCTGTGTGGGCGCCGGACTTGAAGCGGCGGCCGGCTCGTACGCTGGTCGCGTCCCAGAGGGTCATGGCTATACGAGTAATCCGCGGGTATCGCACGATCTCCGGGGAGGCGGCGAACCTCCTTGCCGGATCACCGCCGTGGGATCTAGAAGCGAAGGCGCTCGCGCGCGTCTACAGTTTGCGCGCAGACGCGCGTAGCCGGGGCGAAGATCCTTTGCCGCGCCAAATAAGTGCGTGGCGGAATGAGCTCCGGCGAGATCTCATGGCAGAGTGGAGACAACGACTGTCGCAACCGAGGGCCGGGCACGCTACCATAGCAGCGGTAAGACCCCTCTTTGAGGAGTGGCTTGAGAGACGCCACGGCGTCCTCACCTTCCGTCTGACGCAGGTGCTTACCGGGCACGGCAGCTTCGGTAGGTTCCTGTTTCGGATTCAGCGGGAGGAAACGCCCGAGTGTCGTCATTGTGAGGACCACCTAGAGGATACGGTGGAGCATACGGTAGCGGTATGCCCTGCCTGGGCTGAGCACCGCCGTATCCTCAGGGAAGTGATCGGCGGCGGCGACCTCTCGCGCCCGGCCTTAGTCGAGGCCATGGTGCGGAGTGAGAGGAACTGGGACGCCGTCTCCTCCTTTTGTGAAGCAGTCATGCTCGCAAAGAGAGAGGCGGCCCGCGTGAGGGAGCAATCCTCCTCCTCACGCCCCAGCAGCCGCAACTGGCGACACTACGGGCGTCGGGGATCGAGGGACGATCTCCGGCCACCGTAAGTACGGGCCTGCGGTCGGCGAGTAAGGGCAGCTCGCCGCCCGACCAGAACCAGGCCCGAGCGTACGGCGCGTAGCGTTCCGCGCGCGCCTCAAAGAGCCAATAGACCACCACAGACGGGGCCCTAAAGGGCTGATGTTCAGCCGGGGTTGCGGGGTAAGCGCAATAAGGTACCGCGACCTCGGCACAGAGCAGGAGAAGGAACAGGGGGGTTTTTAGTCAGTAAGAGTCTGACACTCCCTCCTGCCCGGCCCTGGGCGGGAGAAGTCATTTGATGATTTTCCCCTCACAAAAAAAAAAAAAAAAAAAAAAAAAGGCACGCTGTTATAGCAGCGGTGAGAACCCGCTTAGAGGAGTGGCTTGAGACGACACGGCGTCCTCACCTTCCGCTTGAGGCAGGTGTTTGCCGGGCGTGGCAGTGTGCCCTGCTTGGTCTGAGCACCGCCGTGTGGTCCAAGGAAGTGATCGGCGGCGGCGACCTCTCGCGCCCGGCCTTAGTCGAGGAAATGGTGCGGAGCGAGAACTGGAAAGCCGTCTCCTCCTTCTGTGAAGCAGTTATGCTTGCTAAGAAGAAAGCGGACCGCATGAGCAAGAGAGAGCAATCCTCCTCCTCACTCCCCAGCCACCGCAGTAGGCAACATTCCGGGAATCGGGGATCGAGAGACGAAGTCCGGGCCACCGTAAACGCGGGTCTGCGGACGGCGAGTAAAGGTAGCTCGACTAGCTCACTGCTAGACCAGAACCAGACCCGAGCGTTTCGCTCCGCACGCGCCTCGAAGAGCCAATAGACCACTACAGATGGAGCCCTACAGGGCTGATGTCCAGCCGGGTTTCCGGGGTAAGCGCGGTTAGTCAGTAAGTCTAAAACTCTCTCGCCTAACCTGTGCGGGAGGAGAAACTTGATGATGTTCCCTTCACAAAAAAAAAACATATACCTAGTCTAGCCATAAATACTGTAACAAATAAAAAAAATATTTTTTCTATTGCAAATAACATTTACTTATTACGTTTGCAGTATGTAAGTTTAATACATAAATATAAAACAATTTAAAACATAAAAAGCTTATTCGAAGTGGTCTCCATTGGCTGCAATACAGTCCTTTAAACGTTGAGGCCAGTTATCAATAGAAGCACGCACTCTTTCCATGGGAAAATTCTTCACTGCCAATCGTATGGATTGTTTTAGGGAGTCCAAATTATCATGACGTTTTGAGCAAGCCCTACTCTCTAAAACTGACCATAAATCATAATCCAGCGGATTAAGATCGGGACTAGACGACGGCCAGTCTTCAGCTCTGATGAAGTCGGAATCGTTCGTTTCCAACCAAGACTGCGTGGACCGAACTTTATGATATGGCGCCGAGTCTTGCTGGAAGGACCATTGTTGGTAGGTAATTGAACATGGTGTTGTTAAGGGGCTTAACTACCTTCTCAAGAATGGTATTTTGATACACTTGTGCCGATGTTTTGATACCTTTTTCGCAAAAGTATAGCTCAGTCACTCCTTCATAGCTAACACCCCACCAAACCATCACTGAAGTCGGATAATGCTCACGTTGCACTCTGTCGACTAATTGAGAAGCTTCCTTAGAGCTTTGAGCATAAATACGGTCATTCTGTTTGTTAAAATGTTGCTCAATTGTAAAAAAAATCTCATCCGTAAACAAAATTTTTCTGTGACCTCCCTTTGCGTACCGCTTCAGTAGTTGTTTAGATTTTATCACCCTATTCTTTTTTAAATTATCATTTAAAAATGTCCAGTGCGTCTCTTATAGGCTTCAAGTCCTAAGTCGTCTTTTAAAATACGCGACATGGTTCTAGGTGCTATCTTCATCTCCCGAGATAAAATCTTTTGCTTTCGGACAGGATTTCTTCGAATTCTTTCCCTTACCTACCTACTGCTTTGACCACTTTTTTCGTACGAACACTACGTGGACGACCAGATCTTTTTCTGTCACAAACAGAGGTCTCATTGTACCTATTAATAGCCCGGGACACAAACATTTGACTAATGCCAAGCGTGTGGAGTTTTAAAAATTGCATTTGGCTCCATACCCACTTTGTGTAATGCAATCACAGCGATTCGGTTCTCTTTATCACCCCACTCCATTTTAATCATCGTAAAATATTAATATATAACAATGAAAAATTATATAAAAATGACAGATTCCAAATTAAAATGTAATATTTTGTTTATTTTTAATTGTATTAGTATTTATGGCATATACAGTGTATATATATAATAATGTTTGCCGCCTTTGGATTTCAATTATGAACATTAGTTCTAATGTATATCGTTGCAAGTGCTGTACAATTGCATTTACAAAAATTATAGAATTAGGTTCTTTTAGGTATCCTTTAACACGTTGGCTATATTTTTTTGAAATTCTTCAATTTAAAAAAAATACTTCTACAGATTTATCATAATACTAGCGGCTCGCCCCCGCTTCGCACGGGTCCAACTATCTCGCTTTCAAAGGGTCACTTTTTCCTAATCTTCCCCTCTACTTTTCTAAAATTTTCTTTTATAAGAACCTTCTCCTGGCAATAACGAACTCAACAAAAAAAGAATTAGCAAAATAGGTCCAGGCGTTGTTGAGTTATGCGCTTACCAACACATTTTGCGATTCATTTTTATATATAAGATATAGATAGATCTAGATATGTATAGATTGCAAGGTGAACAAAAAGGAATTGTCGTATGAGATGGATAGGAGGCGCGCGGCGGCAACTTGTGGGGTTTGGTGTTGAAATGAAACGACAGCTGTCTATTACTCTTACAGAGTTTATTGAATTTGTTCTTAGAACGGTGACTGAATAAATTCATTAAATCTTTCGCGGCACAACAACCATCACATTCATACAGTAGATCACAATCGTTAAACAAATGTTCATATTATTAAGACATAACATTATTTATTAAATTAATTTTATTATCTCCAAAATAGATTTATTACTTAACGTATTAGTAGAGGATCACAAAATAATGGATAAAGTACACGAGCCGCGAGCAGAGCGGGGCCGTGTAAATATCTCTGACGGCCGCCTGCTCCGGAGGCCAGTTAAAGCTTGCTTTTAACCCTTAACAATAAAGTAATTACAGTATCCTAAGTTGTACTTCATTTCCTACAAAATAAATAGATCGATGCTTATTCCTACGCATTACTATCACTCTTTGTTACTCTTTAGTCTCTACTCGTAAATGTTGATAATTTAGTTGAAGTCAGCTTCGCCCTCGGGGGAAGCGGAGCGTCACATGCACACCACACATACTACGAAGGATCACAGCTCGCACAGCCATAAGCTCTCAGACTACGTCTACTCAGTAACCTAACTGTATAGTATGTACACAACAAGATCATTTTACATCGCCGCGTTCGTGCAGCGATGGCTCTCAGGCTCGCTCGGAGGGGAACGTATATACACTCTGCCTCTGCAGTATACATATAGTAAGGTCTCTATCTAAATATCACACTGGGTCGGCTAGGCGGGCGCCAGCGGGGGCGCCAGCTTGGCAGGCTCGAGGCGCTCGTCCGCGGCCAGCAGCCGGTCCAGCTCCTCGTCCTCGTAGAAGACCACGAAGTGTTCGGGCTTGGCCACGGCTTCGAAGATGGAGCAGACCGAGGGCTTGACGTTGTAGAAGTACAGAGGCTGGCGGCGCGCGTGGAAGTCGGCCGTGAGCTGCTCGATGCTCTTGGCGGCCGTGTAGTCGGCGCTGTAGATGTGGGTGCACTCGATGACCACGGGCACCGAGCTCGACGCCGCGTGCTTCGTCACCAGGCGGCGCACGTAGTCCACGGACGGGAACATCAGGCAGCGGTCCGGCGTGATCATCAGGTACTCCACGCCGTGCTCCGTCTGCAACGTCACGCTCGGGTCACGACTGCCGTGCTGCGACCCCGGGAGGCGAGCCGGCGTTGGACCCGCGTATACATACCTTGAGCATCTCGACGGACAGCTTGGGCCGCGCCGCGTGGTACAGGATGAAGATGATGTTGACGATGACGCCGGTGAGGATGCCCAGCTCTATGGGCAGTGTCAGGCACAGCACGAACGTGCCTACTCCGGGAATGAGGTCCAGCTCTGAAAGTTGCGTGTGGGTTAGTGAGCGATGCGGACTTATGATTAAACGCAGTAGACACACGACATCGGGACACGTTATCAGGGAAGCTTCGTAATGTATACTGGAGTATGTACTCACTCTTGGCTCGCCACATTGGCTTGATCACGTTGTATTCCACCATGAACAATATGGCAGATACGATGACGGCCGCCAGTGCTGCCTTCGGGATGTATTCGAAGTACTGAGTGAAGAATTGCAACGCCAGAATGACCATCACGCCTGTGGATACAGAAACAGCGTTGAGTTCTGTGAAGTATTATTATGTCGAGTGCGACACAAGAGGCGCGATGCTCACCAGTGTACAGGCCGTTGAGGGTGGTCTTAACGCCAGACCCGTTGGAGACCACGGAGCGCGCCAGGGATCCACCGCCCGGGTACGCCTGCATGAAGGAATTGGCGATACCCGCGACGCCGAGCGCGATCATCTCCTGCGTGGCGTCGATAGTGCGGCCGTCGGAGAAAGCCTTGCAGATAGCGATGTCTTCGAGCAGCACGATGAGCGGGATGACGAGCAGGCCGGAGCCCATCTCCGACACCATGTCCAGGAAGTCGGCCGTGGAGTTGTCGGCGCGGACGTAGCTGAACGGCGGCAGCTGCGGCAGCGGCACGCCCGACGGGATCGGCCCTGCACACACACTCCGTCACGCCCGGCTCGGGGCTAGGCTAGCTATCTAGGCTAGCTACTCTACGTCTACTAGAAGGGTGACATGTGAACATTGCTATTTCTACGCTACTAACCGCTGCGACAATTCTCGGCTGCCGTTTGCACAAAAAACAGAAAGAAAATGTTTAAATCTGTATTTGAATATAATTAGCGAGTAGTAAGCGAGTAGTGCATACGTACCCATGAGGCGCACGGGGGGCTGGCCGTACGTGGCCACGAACCAGAAGCCCAGCAGGCCGGTGGCCACCACCACGATGGCGTTGCGGCACGTGCTCACCATCCACAGACACTTGCTTATCACTTTTTGTCTTGTGCTTGGACCATCCTCAGACTTTGCACCCAGTTTTATCATACCGATTTTCTATAAAATACATGTTTGTAAGCTTCATACAAGATCAGAAGCTAGATACATTCACACTTTACGAATGTACTAGCAGATATGATATCACATATTGTGTACAGCTTCCTGTCCGAGAGACTGTACAAGGAATTGATTTTACACTAATTTTAAGACGATCCGTGTACTAGCCGATGTTATAAATGATGACTATAGAGAAAGCTTTGAGCTTCTCAATGGTCAAGTATTGATATCTTGTTATACCAAGTTGATACAAAAAATATTATATTACATTAATAAGTAAATTATATAAATAAAGTTATAGACAAGTGCTCGACGACTCACCCGCATGATAAGTAGCAGCGCGATACAGGAGAAGCCGAGCACGGGGTCCCAGAGCGAAGCGGCGTGTAGGTTGCGGAATATTGAGATCCACTGCTGCAGGAACGTGGTGCCGCTCACTGAGATCGCGAACAGGTCCTTCACTTGCGAGGTGGCGATCATGAGCGCCACTGCCGACGTGAAGCCCGAGGACACCGGGCCTGACACGAAGTTGATGAGGAACCCTAGCCCCAGCACGCCCATCAGCAGTTCCACTAGACCGGCCAGGAAGGCGAGGAGAATGGCCTTCTCGACTACGCCGCCCGCCACCTGGTACGTGAGCAGCGAGGCGATGGCGGTGGGGCCTGCGGGCACGGCGCGACACCCGCCCAGCACGATGTACACGAAGCAGCCCAGGAACGAGCCGTACAGCCCGTACTGCGGCGGCAGCCCGGCGATGTTCGAGTATGCCAGTGACTGCGGGATCACCGTTAGACCCACGGTGATGCCCGCGATCAGGTCGCCCACTGCCTTCTCCGCATTGTACCTATGCAACACGTCGGGGCTCGTCAAACGCTCTGCGCCCACCACGCCACGATCCTCTTGCGGGAGTTATACTCACTGTGGCAGCCACGATGTCACGGGAAGTCGCTTGTGCAGAGTTTTACGATTGAAGCGTCGCCGCAACGCAGCGCGCCAGCCGCACCGCGCCTCGCTGTCGGTCACTGCCAACACAAACTATACTTCATCCCAAGCCCCCGATATACTCCTATACCTACCTAGCCCGATATTTCTCAGGCGGGGCACGAATTCACCAAGTCGATGAACAATGGAAAAGAAATACTCGTCATTGCACTTGGACTGGAGATCAGTGGTGACGAGAACTTCGGAGTCGTAGTAGGTATGTATTGCGAGAGGTTATCTCGCAATACATTGAATATCATATTTGTAAACTTGTGAAAATACATATGTTTTCCTACGTTATTCATTGTCTGTCTAATGGATTTGACCACGGGATTTATCAGTGCACCAGAGCTAAGCCTTAGTTCGATGAAAATAACGACTAAAAATGTAAAAATAAAATACCCATTAAAATTTGTTTCACATAAACCTAGCTTTCGCCCGCGGCTTCGCACGCGTAAAAAAGTAATACTTTACTTTTTTACTTTTTTACGCGGGTTTGAAAAAAAAACAGCGGTTGAAACGATAGGTCGACTAAAATACGCAAATCAAGTGTAATTTATATTTTACCAGGAACACTATAGCTATGTATCAGTGAAAGTTTATTTATTTAGGTAACCAATTGACATTTAGGCTGTTTCACTTGTAATTCTTTGACTTATGATTTTAATTGTTATTTATTTACATTTCTTTTTTTTTATTTGAACTTTGACATTTCAATTTTTTTTATCCAAAACTTGATCATATTGTTGTACAAGTAGATTTTGGTAATGTCTGCCTAAAGTGACTAATTTAGTACGCCATAAATGGCAAAACATGTAGACTCTGTATATACCAAAAACACCTTCATTGTAATTACTCTACTAAATAAATATATCTTATATCTTAAAGAATTTTGAGAATCCGGGGTTTCCAAAGATTAAATCCCAGCCGTGTCGGCGACACACATACAAACTTACAAATTTTACCTCTTAATATTGGTATAGAGTATTATAAATAATAGATACTCACGGATATAATCGTTGCTGGCGTGCTTGTCGTCGGGCGGCGGCAGCGAGCCGGACGACGCGTTGTGTTTGCGGCGTGGGATCATTCTGAAACACGAACGAAAGCTATAAATTTCTCCGATATTTTGGCAATTGAAAACACGTGCCTGCGTTTCACATATCTAGCAACATTTTATACGACGCTAACATTACGTCGGAATCTCAAGCTTGCATGGTTCCATGCATACCGTGGTTGTGGTCCACTCTGTCGTACTGTCCCTCGCCGCGCCCGTAACCTAAACTAAATGACAAGTACCCGGCGTAATGTCATCCTTCGAACTTCAGCGGTGAAGTGTACCTATGTGTAGCTAAGAGACCGGGTACATAGGTCTATACTCTTATTGGATTTAAGGGATATTTGGATCAAAGGGTTTGCTAGATATAAGTTGGCAAACCTTCACTGCAGTTTCAAGTTCATAATGATTTTCTCCTAAGTCGTAGGTACCTTAGAACGTCATGTTTAGCATCATAAAATTACGTACTCGTCGCACACAATCTGGAACAAAAACTAGTACAGCCGTGGCGGCACGAACTGTGTAGTAGTGTGTAGCTGCCGTCAAAGTAGACTTGAAGTCGATCGACTAGGTAGCTCCCTTGTGGGTAAGTACTCGGAATAACTCAGGTGAGCGAAGTACATCGGCCGAACGTCGCTCGTGTTTGTCGGTAAGCGGGCGACAGGTAATACGTTGTAATTAGTCATGATGTCACTTGTGAATGATGCCTCAGAGTACCTGCTCTTTCATTGACAACAAAACAATTGCAAGACGGCTAAATACATTTTCTAGATTCATAGCTCAATTATCTTTTAAAACAGCACAGAATACGATGAAGCCTGTTCTATTTTTATTGGCTGCAAGTGTTTTTATGAAAGCCGAACTTTATTTTTGGCGTAATGTTAATTAAAGTAACGCGAATAATGAGTTGGTTAATTGCTTGTGCCGGACTCGTGACAGCGGCGTTAGACACGCTGCCTGCCGCCGCTCACCGGCGGCTCGCTAGCCAGTGGCAGCTGCCCGTCACTGCCAAGCTAGCCGCTGCCACTTGGAGCAGGTAGTGTGTGTTCTTTGGTTACTATTCTCAGAACAAGGATATGTTGTCGAAAAATTCTGTAAAAATCGAATTAAGTATCATTTCATCGTAACTAGGAGAATGTCGGAGTGCGCGGACGATGGCCATTTCCCTACCATCATCAATACCTACTATTATAGATTTATTTGGTTTGTTCAATGCGAGCCCAGTAATGAATAGTAACTAGGAAGGTACTTCCCACATACAAGCTGTGACACAAGTCACAAGTTCTTACGTAGAGACATTCATAAATAGGTAAACAGATACCTACAATGATTTTTGAAATACGAGGAAAATAGGTAGTATTCGTGTTTTCCGTTTATGTAAATAACGTAGGTAATAGAATATTAATGAAGCAAAGCCAGGCCAGCAGCCAGGTCCCGCGCGTTTGGAGAATGAATTCTACTACTACTGACTCAGTCCAAGATTAAAACTACTTGCGCTTTCTGTCAAATGTTCTAAGAGTTGCGGGTCGACGTTTTACCATTGGGCGGTATTGTTTACGTACAGAGTACGGTGACTAAACTGAACATGTGCGAGTCGGGCTGTAATCTTGGCAACAGTATCATCAGGCACGCAGCACGCACACACGGTGCGTGCCAGCGACACGCGACCACAGCAGCAGCGGCTGTGCTGGATTACGTTGTCTTTTAATATTTTTAAATAAAGTTTACGTACAAAGCATCGTACTGTGAGAACAATATCCAGATGCTCATTCAAATAGATAGCATTTGTTGAGCTAGTATCAAAGATTACGTTCCTACGAACAAAACGTAGTTGAAGAAATCGCATTGGGTAAGCTAAGTGAATAAGAATGACTATGGAGTAAGTATTGAATACTAAGAATGAATGAGTATGGGTTAGGATTTGGGTTAATTTAATAGCGAGCGTCGCGTGATTTCGGCCAAATTCAGTATTTATTTGCATTAATTAGGGCTTCGTAGTTTTTGTAAACAAAAGCTAAGCCAGGACGATTTACACTGCCACTGTATTGGTATATAGCCTTCGTAAACACGCTGCCAGGACCTCGTTCTCAATACTTACGTAAGCAAATTGTTATCACTGAAGAAGGAAAAGAAACGGTCTCAGTTCGCAGCTGTTTATCCTCAACAGCACGTCATTGCAATATTATTGAGAGGCGGAGTCGAGCGCACGTGCTCTTATCTGTGCAGTGCCGAGCCGACATGGCGACAGGCCCACACCATGGCCGCGTGCCCACTAATGGTAACATTGTTCTGTTCGGCCTCGTCTCCAGGCAGAACGCTTACATAAAAATATATATTTTCTCATTTTAAATTAGTTTTGTATAGTATTGGATTACCAGCCAATCCCCGCGTCCGCGCCAATGAGATTACCTCTTCAATAAATATTAAAAGATCGTATACGCAATAATAACAACCCGTTTCATTCAAGATGTTAACACGAGTATTTTTTCTTATTTTAACCACCGATAACACAGACCGTGCATAAAATCGACGGCCGAAATACCTATTGATTAATATTGGCGATGTGATTTTGCTATTCAATTAGGTTATACTATTCGTGAATAACACAAATAAGTACCTAACACAATTTGTTTATATACTTCTGGTAAACATCTGTTTTCCGATCACCTAGTGCCACCTGTGACATCTGTTCATACATTTAAGATTACAGATCTTCATCAGTCTTTCATAAATATACAAATACTTGTTTAAATAAAAATTAATGATTCAAATATACGTTGAGCTATGCACGTAATGACGTAACTGACTACTCGACCAGATTGGTTAGTACAATTGTTGCTAGGACATGGTTTCACCTATGTAGGTACTGGCGACATCCAACTAAATGATCGGACAAGGCTGGGGCGGTCGCTAGTATTGTGCAAAAAACACGTGCAAGGGAACGATGTGTAGATGTAAACTGTGTGAGGAGTGGGGACGTGGAAATAATTATTGTCATTCAATGCGCGTTGTTACCTAACGATACTATTAATAATGACGATGATGATTAATTATAACGACACCCTAATTTTAGTTGTGCCTAAGTGCCTAGGCAACATTCCGACTTAAGGAATAAAATCAGTTTTAAAATACATACATATTATTATTATACTGTATTGTTCTGTGTTAACGTAAGACAACATCCCGCTCTTAAATATCTGGAGAGCAACACAGTGATAAGTATACCTATTGTTATACATAACATATTGTGTATAAGGCTGCTGCCCGCCCGGGATTCCGGCGACCGTCTGGTCCAGCGGAGGGTGCTATCCAGGCTCTTTAAATAACGGCCATGACTCGCTTTCCAGAAGTCTTTTATCATTGATCTAACGCAGTCACTTTGTACTAAATTTAACCAGAACCCCGTACGCTAATGTTATGATAAATTCATTTCAACACTTCAGGAACAAATGCTTTTCAATATATTTGATACGTTTTACATAAATTAGAATTGGTAACAATAGGTGGATTACATGGCATGTAACAATTTCCATGTAACTTTGGCATGTTATTTATCTTTTCTGTTTTTTTTTGTAACCTACCAAACTATATGTTTAAACTCAAACTGTTTAGAACTGCCGTGGTTAGTTTTTCCAACTTCATTTATTTTACTTGTAAAAAAATATATCTACTACTAAATGGATGTCTAAGGGATGGATAGGGCACACGCTCCGAAGGAGTCCTGGCCACATACCCAAGCAAGCCTTGGGTTGGAATCCCCAAGGGAAAAGCAAGCGTGGCCGTCCACGGCAAACCTGGCGTCGCACCGTACTGGCAGAAGCGACGAGCATCAGTATGACGTGGAGTGAGGTGAAGCGTGAAGCTCCAGATCGCGATGGAGAACTTCAGTGGACGCCCTCTGCCCCATCTAGGGGACACAGGATATTAGTCAAGTCAAGTCACTAAATGGATGTCTGGGGAAATCTAAATTTCTCACAAATATCCGGTATAGAACAAAGAGCATCCATTAATATTTAATAAACCCGGAATAAACCAGACTCTAAGCACTGCCAGGGATAGTGATTAGTTAATGGCAATACTAATGCTTGAGTAGGTATGTATATTTTTTGAGTGGTCATTTCTTCTTTCTTCCTGAATGCGGCGACGGTGATGACGGTGATGGTCGGACTCTTTATCTACTAAAACCAGTCCGTTCTTTCTCCTGTTTTAGGCCGGGGCAGTGGTACTTACATTATTGCCAGTGAGTGAGTGTCCTAAGCCGTCAATGGAGTCGTTTTTTGCTATCATATTATCATTATTCCATTTAAATGTCACAATATTATATTTAAAAACTGCTTACAAAATTAATTAACAAAACTCATTAGGTACCCTATACATATATTTTCACAGTATTTCGTGATGCTAAATAGGTATCGGCAGTGTCCTACCATAACGTCTCGGAAAGCCTTTCCATATCCATTTGATTAGCTTTGGGTCTGTAAATTTACCATAGTGTGGATACTATGGGCAGCATGGGTAGACTGGTGCTGCGCTTGCTCAAGTTCTCATAGATTTGCGCACACGAAGTGGCAGAGTCTGGCCAACCACGGGCTCTAAATATCGGGAAATGGTTACGTCGAGCAAAGCCGAGGACAATACGGGACAATATTGGCAGCATCGGTGCCGCGAGATCGACGTCAAGCCGACAGCTGCGCGTGAAAGTAATGCCGAGGAATTTGTAAGCCGATCCTATCCACTGTCACGCAACGCGATTACTCTGTAACCTAGGATATTTAACGATACAGTGCTTTGTGGCTGGGACTTTGTCGGAGCATACGAGCCGCGACGCGCGACCTAAACTTTATGACAACCGGCGATACCTGCGGTGACTTTACGTTGCGTTGTAGTACCTTGAAGTCGCGATTGCAACAGTTATAACTACCTAATTAACAACATTAATCTAAAGAGCATAATTAAAAGAATAAATGCAGCGAACGCTTTGTGACTCATAAACATAATCGGCGAAGAATATTTTTAATTAAGTGTTGTATGAGTGTCAAAACAAAATTACAAGTAAAGTTACCGATACAAGCAGGTAGGTACATACTTAACGATTGGAAGTGTTAGGGTGGTCGGAAGCGGGTGCAAGGGTGCGGCAACAACCAGTTGCGAAGTGCAGCGGCGCGGCGACTACCTGAGCGCGTCGTCCGGCCCTGCGGTGCCCGAACCCCCGTGTGGAGGAAAGCTGCGGCGAGTACTCACTTGCGAAGGTGGTCGCCGGAGTCCGGAGCGGGACGTTGCGGCGGTTGCGGGCAGTGCGAGCGGTGCGACAGGCGGTGTCAGGTGCGCATGGAGCGGGCGCGGGCGTGCGACGGGGGTGGCGGTGAGCCTGCCGTGGTGTTGGCGAGCGGCGAGGCGCGCGTGAGGGCGTGCGGTCGTCGGCGCGGTCGGAGCGCGACTGGCGGCGCGGCGGCGGCGCGCTCGGAGTCCATGTGCCGCGCCCGCAGCCCGCAGCCCGCCTGCCGCGCCGCCACATGCGCGTCGGAGGCTGCGCGTCGCGCCCCGCGCCCCCGCCCCCGCTCCGCCTGACATTGTAAACATTGAGCTCCCGGCTCCCGGCTTCTATACAATACCTACATGCCTGTATCAATGTCACCACTGCCGCTCTCGAAGCTTGTACCACTTGACGTCACTGATAGCTCCCGCATATTAGCAAAGTGCCCAGTTTGATTGGCTGTTACAACACACCTATATTGTACGTGAACTGGTTCCGCGCAACTACGGTACCTATTACCCTTCCTTCCTTCTACATTTCTTACAATATCAGTACTTATCTACTAATAACCTCCGTCTCAATACCGGGCAAGTGCCTTCAGATTTTCAGTCTCAAGTATTGATTCACAAACTTTGCATCTTTTACAAAACACGTTCTAAAATTTGTAGTACCGGTATGGACCCTTTTTGTTTTGCGCTTAATATCGGCTTCATCTATACTACTACTAATGCTGGAGAACGCGCACCGCTTCCTCCTTGTGGAGCCTAATATCATTTTTCCTCTTCCTTACAACTATCCAGGTTAGGTGTCGTGCTATTAAACTGTTGTCTGTTATGTCATTATCGGAGAAGTGACAATCAATTGCAACAAGGGCCTATCCCAACTATTGTCCAATAACATCCGAATTATTTCATATTTTTTCGCTTGTGCCTTCTAAATAGACAATGGAGTACCTACGTAACCATGGTTACAGAAGGTATACTCAATAACCGACCCTCTTATGCATCAATGACATCAATTTTCTGATTTGTCAGTTGTCGCGGACATTTCTTCGCTTAACGTATTTTATGTCTTTTTGTATTAATCAGCGTCCATCACAGGTATGTCACTTCTAGAACATGACACTATGCGTGGGGGTGGCCATGCTTCGGCACTACCTATATGATGGGACAGCTGGGCCGGAGTGATACCACGGCCTTACAGAAAACCGTCGTGAAGCAGCACTTTCGTTTTCTCCCCCCCCCCCCATCCTCAATCCCCAATTCTTAACGGTTCTTGTAGTAACTTCTTTGTTATTACGAATGGCCATGGGCGGCGCTGGTTGCTTGCCATCAGCTTATACGTCTGCTCGTTTGCCGACCTATGACATAAAAAAATGGCAGCTGGGCAGGAGTAGAACAACACGAGGTTTGTTATTGGGCTCGTTGCTGTAAGAGGATTAGAGACACAAACAACTGTATTATTGAACGTTATCTCAAACAGCGTCACTGCCACGTGCTTTCTAATCCTAGACATCATTGACGAGATAAGCGCCGCGCAGAGCATAATGCGCAGCGAGCAGTGCGCGCCGACCTTCCTAGTCACTGCTGTCACTGCTGTAGGGCGGCGACTGTCCTGACAGAGAACAGATCCCACCACTGGCGTGTATCGCGATGTGGAGACACACTTGTGGCTAATGACGTAGACAAAGGAAAAAAGATAAAGGTACTAGAATAGCATGTTTCGGGTCTCGTACCGAGAGAGGTAAAACAGTGTAGGTCACTCGTATAACCTACCTTTGCGGGATACAAACGCTGTCAATATTGTACATGTTCAGTATACCTAGTTGCCACCTTCGGCGGCATTCGGTGCAGCGCGTTGAACTCTTTGCCAGGGAGCTCCTCCTGCGCCTGTGCTCAGCGCATTGTGCCGCTCTGACCTACTTGTACATGTTTATGAATACAGTGCCAGTTACTACAACTTTACAATCAAATGTTTCACGCCCGCGGCTACACCCGCGTTTTTTTTGTGAGGGGAAAATCATCAAATGACTTCTCTTGCCCAGGGCCGGGCGGGAGGGAGTGTCAGACTCTTACTGACTAAAAACCCCCCTGTTCCTGCTCCTGCTCTGTGCCGAGGTTGCGGTGCCTCATTGCGTTTATCCCGCAACCCCGGCTGGGCTTCCCCCGCGTGATGTGTTGATAATAAGCAGCCTATATAATAGCAAAAATAACAAAATCAATGTAAAAATAAAATTTGATACATACGTCTTATTTTAAGGTTGCGTCCCCCATGGGTAAAAGCCTTATAATAACCAAGTCCCCGCTGTCCGTCCATCCATAGGTAACGGTACATATTATAAAAACTAAAGGTAAGTACATGAATAAATTACACTTTGTAGAAATATCAATAAGCTTTTAACTTTTTCCCTCCACCCCCTTCCTAGAAAATATCAATTTGTATCTACGGAGCTTAATACAAACTCACCCCTCCTTTTAAACACGTCATTCTTGTATTAAATCAAATAGCTAGCTAAAATCTAATATTAAATGTGATGTAATAAGTTCCTATAATCCTTATATGAAATAACTTTAATACAAACTTCCACCCCACTTTTGACCCCTTAGAAGTGAAATTTTTAAAAGTCCTAAGCGGATGCCTACGTCATAACATCTACTTGCATGTCACAGGCCTATCCGTCGTGTGACTGGGCCTGTGCGTTGATACATCACTATGTCAGTCACCGTCACCGAAAGATTTACAAAGTAAAATGGGAAACTAAGTATATAATACTAATTTTCGGTGTTGAGTGCGTTGCAGATCTAATCGCGAACTGGTTACATATTGTGGGGTTCGAGCGAATGTCCATTTGTACTTGCGATCGATGCAACTATGTATTTAGGTACGCTGAATGTTCTATTGACTTGACCAAATGCAATGATCCATTTTTTTACTGTTCGATTAACTCGAACACATATAACATATTGAACCAAATTGTTGCTACGGCTGGTCGGCACAACTCTAGTAGCTGGCTGCTCCTTCACAGAGTGGCCGAGTTTATGGGGTGGGTGACACCGCTGCTTTTCAACAAAATCTAAATAACATTCATTATATATACTACGTGAGAATTTATTCATAATATTTTAAGTGGAATGAGAGATACTTTTGTTTGAATTCGTGTAGAAACTCTATGAATGTTAATGGCCAGTACCAAAGCAGGTTTGTCGCAGAGCCCCGAGTGTCAGGTGACGGCGGGAGGAGGGGCACTCACGTGATGCCGGCCGGCGGCGCTTGGTCCCCGGGGTGCGCGAGCACGTGACGCGGCCCCCGCGCGAGCGCCTGCTGCAGTCTGGTGCAGGCCGTGCAGTCGACAGCTCAGCCCGCGAGCGCGGTCGTCGACCCGACGGCGCGGGCGCATGGGGGAAGTTCTCAGGTATAAGTCGGCGCGGGCAGTGGGAGGAGGGCCGTGTTGGTAGTCATGTGACTGCGCCCCGCGGTGGCGGGGAGGGGAGGGAAGACCCATTGACAACGGGCGGCCGCTCGCTGAGTCAACGGAGTGCCCCAGTGCCGCGGTGACGCAGGCTCTCGCACATGTATCCGTACTGCGTACTTTCTGTTATCTGCGCGGCTGCGGCAGCGCGCTATTTGGCTTCGGTTACCTTTCCGTCAATATCTTTCAATATTTATACAGGGTTAACGGTATTACTTTACTATTAAGATAAATGGCTTAAAACACAATGTTTACCCTGCAGAGATGAATGCTGACAATCTATGTTTGTATGCCCAATCCTCAGCAGTTATTTATGAGTCTTGCCATAACAGTGGGTGGCTCATCCTCTTATTGAAAACGATTCTCAACTTATTTATTTATTATAAGGTAGGCTCACAACTTATGTATACTAAAGTATTGGTTATAGGCAGTTAGCTCATATACATTAGCTAGTTACGAGCTAACCAAACTTATGAATGAGAAATCGAGTTCCCGACGCAAGTCTAACAAGAACAACAACAACTACACGGTTTGACGTGGTGTTGTTGAGGTTTTTTTGGGTTTTTCATAAAGTGTTCGTCGGTAATAGCACGGAGTTTCTAATGGTGCCTGCTCTATTGAAGACGTCATAAAATTACAATTAATTATTGTACCTATTTTTGTTTGTACCGCACACAATATTGTAATGATATCTGTTTTTATCTTTGGTAATGTGATAGGGACGTACTATCCAGTATCTACTACATAGTAGATTTGTAATGAGAATATTTCGTTTTTGTGTACGATGTATGTAACCTGGAGTATTATACTTCCCATACAGGCCCCCTAGCGCCTGTCAGCAACTTGAGTTAAGAATATCAATTTACAGGTATGGCGCCCTCTAGCGGCTACCTGGTCAGATGTTCAGTACAGTAGAGTGGTGTTCTGATTGCGCAGGCAGCGTGTCCTCGCTCGACTTGTTATGGGACGATCGATGCTCGACAATAATAAGCCGATCGAAGCTTCATTTAGTTTAATGATTCTCAATTTACCGAATGATACGTCGCCGGCCCCTGCGTCCCCGCCCGGCCCGATGGCGCTCGCCCGCCATCTAGGAGCGCGGCGCGCGAGTCTGTGCCGGCTCGCTGCCGCCTCTACATGTTGTGAGGTAAGGCAGGTTGCAGGGAGCCTACCGACAACCGACTGCACCTCCACCTAGCTGGCAAATATCACCAGTAACCGATGCGTATTTCTTAGCTTCGATTTCCAAGCTGCATTGTGATTGGGTTATTTTGTTACCCAGGCATGGCTATGTCCTCGTCGTCTCCTATTGAGAAGTGAGTGTTGCATTGAATTTTTGCTCTTTCTAAGTAAATCTTCCAACCTCAACTCGCCCTGCGTGGCCCGAAAGGGAGAGAGTGCCAGACTCTCCCGTGTGCATGTAAATAAAATGAGATGCCAGGCAATTCAGGGGGCAGTGGCTTCAGTGGCCGCCAGCGTGGCCCCGGTGCCGCCCCCGCGCCGCCACAAGTTTCCTGCTCACCTACAATCGCGTTGTTTGGCAACAACTGAGGTCACGCGTTGCAAATAAGGTTAAAACGTCAAAAATATGAATTTAATCAATACATTTCAAATTACATTCGCCGTTAATAAGACCATGTGACCATGACGAGTATGGGAGGACATTAATCTGTCAACGTCAAGTTTAAGGACACAATTCAAGTAGGCGGTGAAACCAAGGAAAGCAGCGCAGGCCTTTTACTGGCTGTCCTTTAGTGTGGGGAGCCATGCCTCAGCTCGATCAGAAATACCACGGCCTCGCAACATGCAGGCGTGAAACAACGCCTGCGTTGTGTTTTACCTACTGTTTGAGTAAGGTTACCCTCTGGTAACCTCCATGCCCTCCGAGGTATCCCTCCATAATGGGGCTCCCCCCATTGCGTTCCCTTCTGAAGAAATCCCACCCCAAATTTCCTTGCAACAACACACAAAAGGCCGCAAGGCATTTGTAACTTCTTTCGTGTTGCAGATGTTGATTGGTGATGCCGATTGCTTACCATCTGCTCGTTTGCCGACCTTGGTAACGAGTTGCAGAGCAGGACTCTGCGCAGCCTGGTCGTCGACCTCGCGCGCAGCTTCCCTCTCCAGATATGGCGGCAAGCGCCCGCTGCTGCAGCTGTACGTACATGGTGGCGGCTGCGCTGGACTTGGCGCGCGGCCTACCTATTCACTATTCCTGCTTTGTTTGTTACTCTTTCAAATTCATAAATTTGTTTACGTTTTTAGTAACGACTAGCTTTTGCCCGCGACTTCGTTCGCGTGGACTTCAGGTTCGTCCGGTCTAGTCTAGTAATAAGTAAGAAATACGGTAACTAAGCACAGCAGAGCCCTAATCATAGGTCTATAGGTAGCTACTGCAGTATCCTCTTATAAACTACATTTAACGATCTTTTTCCTTCAGCATAAACATGCAGATTCTTCGCTTTGGAAACGTAAGCGCAAAAATGTATTTTTATACGACCTCACATTAGAAACCTCAAAAATTGTAGCCAATGTGTTATTCTGATGTATAAGCTATATTGTGGTAAAGTTTCATTCAAATCCATTTAGTAGTTTTTACGTGAAAGAGTAACAAACATCCATACATCCATACTTACAAATTTTCGCCTTTATAATAGTAAATTAACTAAAAATCGCGGGTTACTCACGTGTAAATATTGAGAAAAGCTCTACTAGTTTCGAACCACAGAGGGGTTCTTCCTCATGAGCAGCGTGCGCGGACGCGGCGACGTCGCGCAGCCTACTGATTTATAATAGTAGTAGGATTCTAAGGAAAAAGGACGCAGTATTGAGTATTATGATGACGACAGCATGGCCTTATTGGCCTTGTTTGTGCTCTCACTGCTCAACTGTTTTAATTTAAGTCGCTTCGGAGAAATTTCTGGTATGACAACAATTCCGAGATATTTGCTGGATCCAATCTAAATCTGAAATTTTATTACATTAGTACCTATGGGATGGATTACTTCAGAGATAATGTATGATATTAAGTGTGCATCAATATGGGCACTGAACTGAAAGATGTTGTTAGGTTAGATAATGACAGAACTTGGTATTACAGACAGACACCACGGTGGAACATGTAGCTGGTCGTACACTAGCTAGTGAACTGTTTGTGACATTATGACTAGTCACAGAGCGCGGCGCTGCGTACAATGCAAGCACTGTCAGTAGCGCGGCGGGGCGCGGCGGGGCGGGGGGCGCGGGGCGCTCATCATGTGACCGGAACGAGCCGCTGCTGCGAGTCGCGGGGTGAGCAGGGAGCTGCTCTTGTCCTTGTTATGAGTTCGCAGTAAACTGGTCAAGGTGCCAAGGTGCACTACTGTGTAAGTGAAGCTGGATCGATCTTTGATATGGTGCGTAAAATGCATTATTGTAGCTCACACAAGCAATTGTTAAACTACGTATGCCATGCGATACACAGATATGTTCGATCTCGGTTATCAACGTTACCTCCTGTTGATTGACCGTAACAGGCCACCAATCGCTATAAAACAGTGCCGCGTCGGACACTGTCTGGCGCAGGCACGAGGCGGCGGCCGGCGGGCGGCTCCGTCCCGCCTGAGCTACGAATACATGTCTCGACGCATGTACATACATACTTGCGGCTCGTCATTTAACTATTAATTTCTTGTAAATAAATTTACTTTTTTCTAAGTACCCGTAATTCTAAGTCAATATCGAGTTTTTTATGTAATATATGTAGGTAGGCAAACGTGCTGACAGCTTACCTGACTGTAAGTAACCGGCGCCGCCCGTGGATATTCGCAAATTCGCGTTTCTGAGATTTTGAGATTGGGGGAGGGAAAGAAAAATGTTGCTCACTCTCACTCACACGACAACGTTTGTTCTATATCACCGATACTAATATGCTAATATTCAGCGATCTGTCAGACTACTGGTGTATCTCCAGGACTCCAGGATATCTTACCTTCGCTAGAGAGCTTCGATCACCAGTTGATATACAACACGACATTAAGTCGATACTTGATAAAGCCAATTCGTAAAACGTTCCACAGATTACACCTTATTTGAAAAGTTTTGTTAATTGTTTTACCGCCGTTAGGGAAAGAGTCGAAACACAGCAGGATAGACGTAAAGAATGTGCTGATAAGACCAAAACCCCTGCCGAAGTCTTCGAGGTCGGAGGTAAGGTTCTTTTAAAATCACATGTTCTTAGCAATGCTGCAAAGAACATAACAGCTAAGTTTGTTCCTAAGAAAGCTGGTCCATATGTGATTGTAAAAAGGGTTAGTCCTACAGCCTACATTAATAATGCCTAAACGTCAGAGAGGTCGTCCTTGTAAGCATGTAAGTCCTGTGTGTTAAATTTAAGTCTACTATTAAGTTTAAGGCTAGTGTTAAATTTAAGTCTAGTGTTAAGTCTAATGTTAGTTTTGAGTTTCCTTTTGTGTGAGTTCACGAGTAAGGACATTCTCTAGAACTCGAGGGGGAGTGTATAGCGTAGCGGTAAGCGCTGGCAACCCAAAGGCGTCCTTTCGACGTTGTCCGCGAGAGCGCGCCACAAGTTGACGAATGGCCGCCAGACATTCGAAACGGCAACGCTCGCGCTCACATGTAAAAGATTAGATTTAAGTGAGTTACGTTGATTAAACTGTGTGCAAAGTTGTTTTGTTGAACATTAAAGTATAAATTACATCAAGTGAGTCCTAATTTGCTCCCCACCTACACTATAATCGGTGAACTTGTAAAACATATATTATTAACTAGACCAGCAGAAATAAATTGAATAACACAGAATTTAATTAAAATCGGGAAAATGGACGTGTAAGTGTAAATCGGGAAGTTGTCCAAGAATTCGATTCGAATTTTAAGAATATCCCCATTAAAACTACGAAATACTTAGAATCATCTCCGGCACATTCTATTAGTGCTCTTAAAAAAAATGATAAAAAATGCCGTTCTGGTTTCCAATTTCAGTACACAAATCTGTAATAAAGGCGTTTAAAGATATTAAACTTAAGTCTACAGAGAATTTATGGGGAATGTCTGTTGCGGTTGTAGGTTTTTTATAGAAGCTATAGCGCCTTATTTAGCTTTAATTTTTAATAGAAGTGTAGACCAAGGAGTTTTTCTAAATTTGACGAAACATAGCATAATAGTTCCGTTGTTTAAATTTTTCGATGATGCCGATCCCGATAATTACAGGCCGGTATCTATATTACCAGTGCTTAGTAAGGTCTTTGAAAAGCTGATGCTTTCTCAGATGCTACGACACTTTAACATGAATCCCATCTTTCAAGACCAACAATATGGGTTCTGCAAAGGACGATGTACAACTGACGCCGATGTAACTCTAATTAAGCATGTTTTTGAAAAGTCACACGAAGCTGTTGGGATTTTTTGTGACCTGTCCAAATCTTTTAAATGCGTTGAACACGAGACACTGTTGCTGACGTTGGAACACTACGGCATTAGAAGGGTATCTCTCAATTTATTAAAATCATACATACCTCCAGGATAGGCAGCTCAAAGAACAAGTGAATAAAGTGAACTCCCAGGGTGCTAGCAAGTCTATGGGCGTACCACAGGGCTCTATATTAGGTCTTTTTCTCTTTTTGGTGTACATAAATGACTTACCTGATTTATTTCAACGTGAACCTGGAATTTTTATTATAACTTTCGTGATACATTCTAAATTATTTATTATGTTTTCGGCTTACTCACGTACGTGAACCTAAAAATTGTATAATTTGCTGATGACACATTGTTGATTTTTAAAATAAATAGACGGACAAAGAATCATGACGAGGTAAATAATGCTATCGCGAGGGTCATAATTGGTTTTCAGTCAATAATTTAGTGCTAAACGACAAAAAGACAAAGTGTATACGATCCACTTACGAATGTTAAAGGTAACGAATGTGAGATATTATTAAAAGGTATAAAATTGGAAATTGTAAAACAAACTACTTTCCTGCGTATAACAATAGATGAGAAACTACAATGGGAATGGGATCCCCATAACATATATCTATCAGGACGATTGAGCTCTGCAGCATTTGCAGTCTGGAAGATCCAACAGCTAACAGATGTGGACCCTGCAAGACTGATGTACTTCAGCTACTTTCATAGCATTATGTCGTATGGCATCTTGTTGTGGGGACAGGCTGCTGACATTGAGTCTATCTTTGTCTTGCAAGAGCGTGCCAGCAGAGCTATTTACAACCTAAGGTGTCGCGAATCTCTTAGAGAAAAGTTTAAGTTTAAAGATCAATATTATGACTGTGCCCGGTCAGTTTATTTATAAAAATATTATGTATGTTAGGAAAAACTTAAAATTGTTTGATAAGGTGTCAAATAGACATAATTATCAAACTTGACATAGAGATACATTATGCCAGCTATTATATTCCGTAACTTTTCAAGCTCTCTTCAATGAACCATTTTCGAAAGGCACTGCAGAAATTTTTGTAGGGCAGGTCAGTATTTTCTTTGGGTAAATTATATATGAGAGGTGCCATAATATGTATAATGCACAGTTTGTCCTTCTCTTCATCTTTCCTTACGCACAGGCATTCTTGGAGGAAGGTGCTCCGTTTTACGCTTAGATGTATAGTTGTTGAAGTGAAAAGATTACTATGGTATTTAACAAATTTTGCTTTAATTTGAAAATGTATTTATGAACGATGCATATAAATTACTATAATTAAATGGGCATCGGTTGTGTCGCTTATAGGTACAGTTTGTGCAGTGACAAGGGTGGTTAGTGTGGCACTTGAATTATAAAAACGAACATGTAAGTGAACTCGCCATCAGCCGCAATATGGCTGCGCTCACGCGCTCAGCCACCGCGCACTCGCTACACCCGCGACTCCATGTAAACAAGGCCATCCCATTTCCTCGCAATGCACAGACTATACTGGTATCGGAAGTTTTACAATTGAATAAAAAGTGCATATGATTAACATTAAGCGAGTCGTTTAGATGAGAAGAGTTCTCAGCTTGCTGAATGCCACTTCACATTGTATTACTAAACTTGTCATAATGTATTGAATGGAGGCACTCGAGCGTAGCACGTTGCTAATCGAAGTAATGTGCCATTTACTTGACAAGCGGCACTAAACTCAAATAGAACTGGAAGACGTGCTCGCTCCTAATTAGAAGAGAGAGCACGTGTCGGAGCTGCTGTCGCGGTCTCGTACGCTTCCTGCCACCTGTTCGATACATGTTCAGATCCAAGAGCTGCACTCCGCGCTCCGTAACAACGCAAACTAATCAAAACAGAATACTTCCATATATCGGCGGCATGTGGCTCTCATTAAATTCAATCAAAAGTAATAATTCCTCCATTGGTTCCGGTACGACGCGGGGCAACACTCGTCTTACGTGTACATTCTTCTCGCTGTAACATCGACATTATTTTTATGTCGACGGTGTGGTTGGCAACCTGTGCTTACATAAACATATTTTGTGCTACTCTATACAAACTCTACAACGTTCAGGTTGTGTGTACTTTTCTTTTAAAACTTTGAATAATTTTATGCAATGCCAAATGCGCAGTATACAGATAAGAAAAGGAAATGCTGCAGTGTTGCAACGATCCTGTCTAAACTACGTGGTTTTTTTTTTTTTTTTTTGTGAGGGGAAAATCATCAAATGACTTCTCCCGCCCAGGGCCGGGCAGGAGGGAGTGTCAGACTCTTACTGACTAAAAACCCCCCTGTTCCTTCTCCTGCTCTGTGCCGAGGTCGCGGTACCTTATTGCGCTTACCCCGCAACCCCGGCTGAACATCAGCCCTTTAGGGCCCCGTCTGTGGTGGTCTATTGGCTCTTTGAGGCGCGCGCGGAACGCTACGCGCCGTACGCTCGGGCCTGGTTCTGGCCGGGCGGCGAGCTGCCCTTACTCGCCGACCGCAGGCCCGTACTTACGGTGGCCGGAGATCGTCCCTCGATCCCCGACGCCCGTAGTGTCGCCAGTTGCGGCTGCTGGGGCGTGAGGAGGAGGATTGCTCCCTCACGCGGGCCGCCTCTCTCTTTGCGAGCATGACCGCTTCACAAAAGGAGGAGACGGCGTCCCAGTTCCTCTCACTCCGCACCATGGCCTCGACTAAGGCCGGGCGCGAGAGGTCGCCGCCGCCGATCACTTCCCTGAGGATACGGCGGTGCTCAGCCCAGGCAGGGCATACCGCTACCGTATGCTCCACCGTATCCTCTAGGTGGTCCTCACAATGACGACACTCGGGCGTTTCCTCCCGCTGAATCCGAAACAGGAACCTACCGAAGCTGCCGTGCCCGGTAAGCACCTGCGTCAGACGGAAGGTGAGGACGCCGTGGCGTCTCTCAAGCCACTCCTCAAAGAGGGGTCTTACCGCTGCTATGGTAGCGTGCCCGGCCCTCGGTTGCGACAGTCGTTGTCTCCACTCTGCCATGAGATCTCGCCGGAGCTCATTCCGCCACGCATTTATTTGGCGCGGCAGAGGATCTTCGCCCCGGCGACGCGCGTCTGCGCGCAAACTGTAGACGCGCGCGAGCGCCTTCGCTTCTAGATCCCACGGCGGTGATCCGGCAAGGAGGTTCGCCGCCTCCCCGGAGATCGTGCGATACCCGCGGATTACTCGTATAGCCATGACCCTCTGGGACGCGACCAGCGTACGAGCCGGCCGCCGCTTCAAGTCCGGCGCCCACACAGGGGCACCGTAGAGGGCCATGGATCGCACAATCCCCATATACAACCTCCGGCAAACTACGTGGTGGGTGCAGTGTAGCGCTACAAAGGTTGCGGACACAGGCGCAGTCATGCACAGACGTCCCGTCCAGAAGCAGGAGAAAGAGTCACTCTCGCCCCTCGGAAGAGCCATTGGATGTATTATCTCGTCAAAACAATAACTCACACGCACGAAGCGTTTCGCATTACGTTTTTATTAAGGAGTTTTCCTTAAAGGGTGGAATTCTTCGCCAGACCATAGTATAAAAAGAGGCAGTAGGTACGCTGTCTCCGTTTATAGTCAGTAAGAGCCTGACACTCCCTCTTTTGATGATTTTCCCCTTACAAAAAAAAGCCTACCTACCTACTTCCTCTGTGCGACAGAAAACTAATACAACAAAAATATTTTTTAACAAAATAAAAAACCGACTTAAAAAAGTAAACTATAAGCAAAAAATAAATTTAAGTACTTTGTTCAAAGTAATACATATTTTCATTTAGTTAAATAGAATAATATTTGATAACTATTTTATAATTTTGAAGTCGGTGATTATCATGGGACATTCTGGGACTATCTCCTTTCCAACAAAAAATAATTATCAAAATCGGTTCATAAATAAAGGAGATATCGGCGAACAAACATAAAAAAAAACATATATACGGTCGACTTGAGTTACTTTATTATCAAGGAATATCAGTCTATACTAATATTATAGAGCTAATATTTATCAGTTTGTAAGTTTGCATGTAGAAGTAATTTTTAGAACCGCTGGTCGGATTGCCAAAATTATTTTATTGTTAGATAGCTACAATGTTCCTGCGTACTTTAGACTACAAAACATCACGCTACAATCAAATGGAGCTGAGCAGCGGGTGAAAGCGCGCAGAGTAACTATATTAAATAATCTCAACATCAAAAATGTGTAAAAAATACTCTTAAATTTGTAATTTGCGTACTCCAGACTCGATCGATGGACACTCGACATGGCCCGGCAGCTCGCTCTGCTTTCACATTTACCATTGTTTTCAAACATTTAAATTAAGCAATTGCTCTGACTGCAATTTATGGTCGCCCCTCAACTTGCTGTGAAGCTCAGCAGGTGCAGCTCCAAGAAACCAGCAGCTTACTGCGTGATCTTTTTTTTTTAAATTATATCGATACATAACATACCAATGTGAACTCTCACGCAAACAGATTAAGTGGCTAATTTGTTGATCTATTAGTTGGGTCTAATGAAGAGTAACGTCGCGGCCGTGGGTCGTGTGGCCCTCGTTAGCGCCCTGACACATCACTCCGTGGACACGCTCGTGGCTCAACGCGGGCCTTTGACGTGACACGAGCTGAAAAGGTGGCTGACACCGACTCAGACGGGACGTTGCAGCCTCCTCTAGCTAATTATGAGTCAAGGACTGCTAGGCGAGAGATCGGGGACAGGTCGTGCTGCGCTGCCGCCGGAGGATATTGCACCATGCTGCCGGCCCCAGCTTCTGGGCCATCGAGCCGTTTGTTCGGGTGTCTATTGTACCTATTGCAACAATTATTTGACATTCCTTGCGATTACGCCGTCGCATTGTTTCAAAAATACAGATCTGCTGTGTGCAACAGTTAGCGTAAATATTATAGCAGAATCATACAAATTTCCGCGGGTTTTGAAATATCAAGGTTCTTGCAGTCTGTCAGCGCCGCGCGTGGCAGTGCAGCGGGTGCAGGGAGTGCAGTGAGTGCAGCCAAGACGTTGCGTGACGTTAAGTGGTTCGTGCTGTCAAAATTGCTTCCTCGGTATTGTGGCATGGGCAGGGTCAGGCTGCAGCCGCCGACCTCCGCGGCGGCCGCTACCTTGTGCATTGTTCATGTGCATACTTACATTAACTCACGCCTCTGGTCCTTGGGGGTACGCAGAAGCCACAGAGGGTCAGCTAGTATGCTCCCTGCAAACTTGTTTTAGCTTTCTATATTATATATGTATGAATGTACCTACTTGTTCTTGGCAAGGCTTTCTACTAATACCTCTGCAATGAGGCAAACAAAGGGAAAAAGACGACGCAATAAAATATTGTAAGTACCGATTTTCTTGCGAGTAGACAATAGACATTGTCCGGTCCGCTGGTCCGCATGCTGGAGCCGGCGCCGCAGGGGAGGCCTTACGTTATATTGGTGTACATATGTATTTTGTGGATCGCATGTAGGATCGTTCAAGGCACGTGGTGGCTGAGTGCAGCCGTCAGGCTTGCAGTTTATTCACCCGTGTTGTTGTTATCAGTCGGCGCTGGCTGCGGACGTGCCGAGAGCTGCGACACGCGACAGCCGACTGATTACACCACTCGTCCGGATTAGCCGCAAGCCGACGAGCGACGTGTGGCAGGCGCCCGCTCTCGAGATAAACGTAGACTCGGGAAATGTGGACGGATTAGCGAGTCCTTGGCTGGCGCTGCTCCGTGATAACGTCAGCCGTCACTCCGGCACGAGGCGCGCAACATGACTTACTATCTGCGAAGGTGTTGCGAATCACTCTCCACATGTCGTTTCTGTGTCTTCTCAATGACATTTCTTACAACATTCGCAACTACTGTTGTAATCGGATGGGACGATAGAGTGTAAAAGGCTTGTGCCTGCGCAGGGCAGCCGCGGTACGATGGCTCCCTGAGTTGGGAATGCAACATTTCACAAAGTTCACCCCGAGCTGCGTGGGTTACGGTTTATCAGACTCGCCTAGTTTGTGCTTTGTTACAAGTATTGCGCAGCAGCCGTGGAGGTGACATCCTACAAGTAATCTCTCTGTCTACCTTACAAGGAAAACAATCCAACCAAGTGCGAATCGTCCTCGCACTCCGAGAGTTCTATTGACTGCGTGAACGTCGAAGCTAATCTACAGGTGTCAGAGACATTCGTATTTGATATGAATTTCAATTTAAAACCGATCCGCTTTAAGGGAAGGGGTAACAGCCGTTAGATTATTACAGGCACCATGCCTGTTACTCTACCTTATACAAATGTTTTAAAACAAACATTTGTTTCCACAAATCCACTTATTTGCGTAATGTTATATAGGTACTTACAGTAACGTGCATGTTTGAGTATAATTTATTATAGCATATATATGTATATTGAGCATTAACCGTAAAATATTAAAGTGGGTATGGGTTCTTTGGCTATAATGATAACATATTTTTATGCATTAATTTTTATTAATTTAATTTAGAATGTCTTACGAAAGTTATAATAAAAATATTTAATGCATTTCTTAATAACGTTTTTCTAAAATTAATACAATAGAGATTCACAGTCGTACTTGGTATTGTCTTACAGTTGACCAACCAGCTTGTTTGTGTTGTACGAAGTTGATTCGCTTGCCAGTTTCGAAATTTTTATTAATGTGTATTACAATTCCACCAAGGAAAGTTATATGAAACGTCAAAATACATGGACCTATCTATATGACATATATGATATGCCTATCTTGGACATCGGCAATACTAGACGAGTTCAACAAGTGATTTTAGAGATCGTATCGATACAACGACTGTGATGCTCGAATAAACATTGTAGATTAGCCCGGTAGGTACTATGCTGTGCGCTTTTGTTATCAATCTAGTAGATGTACTCTCAAACCCTACAATGCGCAACCAAAGGCAACACTTCAGCCCCCGGCCACTAGTTCCTGCTCCGAACAATTTGTTACGTGTTTGTGCTAGATCTTTCTATATCGTAGGTACCTGCTGTACTTAATTGCATTACATTCAATCATTTCGCCTCGAAGTGGACCGTCACTACTTGCAACTCCTTTGGTGTCGCGGACCACCAACCGATCGAAATAGAATGTAACATTACGACTAAGACAAACATGTGCGTGACACTGAGACGAGTACATCGCAGCAGGCAGCAGTATCTTGTTATCACACAACTTGTCAATACTACTAGTCTGTACTATTTGACAAGCTGTTCAGTCCAAGGCTCAGATAAACAATTGCGTTCGCAAAGATAATGCGGGGATTTGCTTAGTTCGACAACATCATCACGCGTTTGATCCAAGCGAGAGATGTGAAGCGGCGTGGAGCGAGGCCGCCTCAGTGGTGATGCGCGTGTCGCTGTCCTGAGTCGCGGAGCGCTAGCTTAGCGGACTTCCAGCAGCCACCACTTTTCTGGCGGCACAATTATCCTTTTTTATTTAAATTATGCAGATTCTATCTAAATAAAAGATTGAAATAAAATAATAAAACATAATAATATTTTGTATTTTTGTATCGGAACTCATGTAATAATGTACCTTAATGTTGTTATTTTAGCTCTCAATCTTCTCTTACATTACTTTCTGGTTAAACTAGACTTATCTACAAACTAGCTACTTTCGCGCGGTTTCACCCGCTGCTCGGCTCCATTTAATCGTAGCTTGATGTTTTATAGCCTATAGAACTCAGGAACATTGTAGCTAGAATTTTCGCAATCTGACCAGCGGTTCCAAAGATTACCCCCTACATACAAACATGCAAAGTTTACCTCTTTATAATATTAGTTTAGATGTAGTGAAACTGTAATTGTCATGTCGTTATCACTGTGTAGTGCAGCGTGTGTACACCTTACTTTTCCACGCTAGCATTCTTTCATGAAACTGCATTGGGCTGTGTATCGGTCGATGTGTTCTCAACTCATGTAACATGATTAATGAGCCATTGAGTTGTAAATAAATAAACTATATCCGGCTGGTGTCGGCGGCTCGGCCCGACATCACAACGTAGCTATAGTCAAACATAGAAGTGTAATCTCAAGAAATTGTTATGAATGAATCAAGCAAATTACACATTTTGTATTATTGTCGAATCTTAATAAGGATAATTAATTGTCAGCATAATATGTTGTGAGCAGAGCTAGACAACTTCAGCAGTCAATCGCAGTCTGAGAGCGGAAGGCAGCAGGAGTATGTGAACCACGTGACACAGCCGGGCCGCGCTACGTTACTCCGTCAGCACTACGTTAGTCCGTCCTGTGTGCCTAGCACGAACATTATCGAGAAAGTATTCGTATCGAGATCGAAAGCATTTTCTATGGGATTTGTACAGCGCCCCTACCGTGCGTAAAAGGAACTAAAAATCGCAAGCACGAATGATTTTGACAACTATCGTATAGTAATCGTATCGTGTTGCTATCGAAACTTAGAACATTTTGACACAAATTGGAAGCAGCAGTACGTGATGGTAGGTCGTATCGTGTGCGCTCTGCACGACATCTGTATATCTATCATATTATGCAAGTTCACTGCCGATTATTTTGGAAAGAATACGTATCACCCTTCACTAAGGCATAAACCTAGTCACTAAGCACCAGTGGGGAGCGGGGACCGCATGTTAAAAATAATCAGTTCTAATGTGAGCTGTTAAAACAGAAAATTAACATATTTAAATAAAGAGCTGATATTTTATTCCTGTCTATAACATTGTATCATAATAATGCTATTATCGTGTGGGGGAATGATGCTGCGTTGCAGTACTTTTTTATTCTGCTGAGGACAACTATTCCATCTAGTCATAATGTCGGCTTTGACTAAAAAGTCAAACAAGGGAACAATTTAAGGTAACGCTGCGCGGTTGGCACGGTGGCTGCCGCACAAACTGTCGCGGATTCGATTCCCGCACAGAACAACTCTTTGTGTGATCCACCAATTGTTGTTCAGGTTGGGGTGTGATGTGTATGTGAAATTTCATGTTTATAAACGCAACCACGTAAAATAAAATTTTTGTCTGTCTGTCTGTCTGTCTGTATGTTTCTTATAGAAACAAAAACTAGGTACTGAACGGATTTTAACGAAACTTGGTACAAATATTCTTTATACTCCTGGGCAGGTTTTAGGATATTTTTCATCACGCTACAATTAATAGGAGCAGAGCAGTGAAGGGAAATGTTAGGAAAACGGGAGCAGTTAGGTACTCCCTTTTTTAAGTTTCCGTCGCGTGGGTGGCCTTGATGGTTAAAGTTACATAGAAATAATGTATGACAGAAACATTCTACATAAAATTATCTAAAAATTTTTTTATCACAGCGTATGTCTCTTTTTACACGACTACGGCAAAGCAAAAGGAGGGATGATTTTGACAGGCTATGTATGTATGTATGTTCATCTGTGCCCTCCTAACTTCTAAACTACTAATTCGAATTCGACATATGCCATATCATTAGAAACGTCTTAATTGTCTGCTGGTTATAGGCTATATGGGGTATCACAAAATCTAAAATGGCGACTTCACGTCGCGCGGAAAACATACAGAGTAAAAAAAAAGTTAAGATAAATATGCCGTGTTTGATATCATTTTAAAGCGCTTTACTTGTACATTTCGAATATATATATATTTGCTTGTGACTTTACCTGTATTCATTACTTGATTTCCAATATTCACATCTTTTTATTCATTCTTCTACTTATCATAGGTTCATCAATTTGACTTTTGTTGATGTTATGCGCTTTTTTTTGTGAGAGGAAAATCATCCAATGTATTCTCCCGCCCAGGGCCGGGCGGGAGGGAGTGTCAGACTCTTAGTGACTAAAAACCCCCCTGTTCCTTCTCCTGCTCTGGGCGGAGGTCGCGGTACCTCATTGCGCTTACCCCGCAACCCCGGCTGAACATCAGCCCTATAGGGCCCAGTCTGTGGTGGTCTATTGGCTCTTTGAGGCGCGCGCGGAACGCTACGCGCCGTACACTCGGGCCTGGTTCTGGTCGGGCGGCGAGCTGCCCTTACTTACCGAAAGCATTTATAATGAAACTAAAAATGTTAATGATCTTTTTCGTTTATAATCATTTATTTATCCTAAATCAAAATATTAATGGATTAATAGGAAAGTCAGACTTATTAGGTATTCACCTTAACGAACTCTTGCATAAAGGGAAAAAAATAGATGTAGTGTGTATTACGGAACACAACATGATTGATGACGACCACAATCAATTGTAATTACCGAACTATACGCTTGCAACTTACTCAACAAGAAACATCAAAAAAGGAGGTACGTGTGTACTTGTTAAATGTAGACACGAGTTTAACGTTTTAAATATTAAAGAGTTTTGCGTTCCTGGTACAATAGAGTGTTGTGCTATTGAGTTGATATATCACAAATTGATCATTTTTTGCGTTTATAGGCCACCAAAATATAATACGGGTAGCATAAAGATTTTCTTCGAAAAACTTGAACTTATATTAAACCGATATGGTCGAAACATAGGAAAATAAGTATTGCTGTGCGGTGATTGCAACATTGATATTTGAAAAATACAAGAATGTCTAATGAATTCTTACATCTTCTACTAAACTTTAATCTTAAACTAAGTATAAAATAAAAATATGTAAAAAAACTTTTTAAGTTAAACGGTTTTATGTTTGCATTGCAATGTTTAAGATAAATGTACTAAACACCAACAAATAATAAAATAGATACAGTCGTGGGAATTATAAACATATGCATAGACTAGACTAAAATAAAACCGTGGGGCACGT